CTGCTTCTTTAGACATCAATGATCCATGTTGACAATACATGGAATAGAAAGGCATAAGGCAAGCGAAAGAAACTATCTGGTTGATAATAAACAAGAGAAACATCAAACCGTTGTCTATGTTTTCTAGTTTTAATCAAACAAATCATAATATTGTAGCTTTTAAGGATTTAGCACAAATAACAATCAGCTTATGTAGATGTGATAATTTCCTATTATATCAGTAATAAATTTTAGGGATCTAAGTATATAAAATATTAAACAAAGCTCATCTCATGTGGTCGTAGGACAAGCTTTCTGATTGGGAAACAAGATTTCACCAGAGTCATTCTCCACCACAAGCTTCTTCTCCTATTAAACTAAGCTGTGGCCTCGTTGTTGGATATGGCGTCCCCGCTTCAGTGCGGCAAGACCGTCACAAGGCTGGGCAGCACCTTCGCCTCAGGCGACAGCCCAGTCTTTGGAGGTTCCCAAAGACTCAATGCCCTCAGACAAAGTCCCTCCTCGTCCACTTCCAGGGGATCCCAGCTCCACGTCTTTGCCATGGCTCCCAAGAACAAGGTACTCCATTCCAATTCTTCGGCCTTGAAAATCTGATGGAACTTCGCCCCCATTGAAGGTGAACGCCTACGACGATGACTGGAGCAAGCAATGGTTTGGCGCGGGGATCTTCAACGAGGACGCGGAAAATGAGCCCGTTAACATCGTGAAGAAGCTGGAAAAGAAGAAGCTACTGAGCCAAGTGGAAAAGGCCGGCCTCTTGTCCAGAGCTGAGAGCGCCGGGATTAGCCTCTCCCAGATCGAGAAGCTGGGACTTCTCTCCAAAGCCGAGGATCTGGGCTTACTGAGCCTCGCGGAGAATTTTGCGTCTTCGTCCCCTGCTGCTCTGGCCTCCCTTTGCCTGCCTTTGCTCGTCGCTGCCATTGCCACGATCGTCTTCGTTCCCGATGATTCTACCGTGCTTGTAGTGACGCAGAATGTGGTAGCATCCTTCTTCGCAGTTGGAGCTGGAGGCCTGTTTGTAAGTTCGATCATACTGAGCGCTCTCCAAGAAGAATAAAAAGCTAATGATAATGAAAGAGAGTTCTCGTAAGCTTACCTCTGAGGTTGTAAAAGAGCTGGCTTCTTGTTACCTGGAAAAATCGCTAGTTAAAATTCATGTGAAATTCTAGTTGGAGTAGAAGGAATGTCTTACCTTTAGCTCATGTCACGACTGTTCTTAGCTTCTTCATGTTGGAAATGGCCCCAAATCGAGTCCTTCGAGAGTCACCTTCACGTAGATTGCAAGAACTAGCGTCGCGATGGTCGCCAGGACGGTGAGAATGACAGATATCACATTCTTCAGGCAGGACATGCTGGAGCTTCCCTTGCCCGCCGAGGAAGCGCTGGAAAGATTTTGACCTTCCGCGGCCGTCTTATCGCTCCCAGCCGTCGACTCGCCGAAAGAAACCTCGCTCGTCAGGGAAGACACTTCGAGCTCCTTGAGCTGCTTCTCCACATCTCCGAGCCTGATCTCCGCGGCGCCTTCCTCCAGGATCGAGATCTGATCATCCTCGATCCCGAGAGCTTCCGGCTTCTTTGCACAGACCTCATCGCCGTTGGTCGCATTCCTCCCCTTTCTCGGCACGGATTTCACAGAGAAATCGTGCGCCGGATTCGCCTTTGCTGGCGTCTTCTTAGCCCTGGAGATCGATCTGCCGAAGGCCGCCATCGCCCGGAACAATAAAAGCCCTAGCTCTTCCCGCTCTAATTAATTTTAACAGTGAATGGATTAGATTAGTATACATTAACAAACTACTGTTAAACTAAACAAATGCCCAGAGTTAGGGCAAAAATGCTTTAGCAGCAAATAGGGCATCGAATAAGTCCGTTCTCGTTGCATTCAAGGCACTGGATCTTCTCTCCACTCCCATCCTCCGCCAAGATCTTGCAGCTACCGTTACAATCCAGGCACAGCATGAATCGAGCGCCGCCACAGCCATCGCAAGCTTTGCTGTGATCCTCTCGCCGAATCCCCTGGAGCAATCTCGCCAGCAGCCCCTTCTCGTGAGCCTTCGACACCTCCTCCAATCCGCCGATCAATCGCCCCCTCACAAACAGCCTGGGAACCGCGCAGGATTGCGAGAGCTCCTTGAGCTCCTGCCGGAACGCCTGATGCATCGATAGATCCCTCTCGTCCACGCTCACGCCATAGCTCCTGACGATCTCGAGCACCGTGCTACATTCCTCGTGTGTTCTTCGCACCCCTCGCAGGCTCGTGTAGTAGACCACGGCCTTGGATTCGCCAGCCGGAGGACAGAGGAGCTGGAAATCGCGAAGCTCCACTGGATTCTCGTCTAGAGACCTCGGATCGTCTTTCGGATCGCAATCGAGAGGCCTCGCTGCTGAAAGATCCCGCTGGCTAACATCCGATGGAGATTTCTTCGAGTTCCAGTCCTCCTCTGAGATTTGCTCGAAAGCCCTCTCGATGCTCCCCAGGAGATCCGGATCGAACAGGCTCCGGCTCGTGCTGGTGCTGCTGGACGAGGTGGCTGTCTCCACGATCGAATTGCTAGCCTTGGACGAGATGCATCGCATTTTCTTGCTTGAGCGTTGGTGGTGGTGCTGGCACTGCTGCCGCGGCTGCTCCTCGAGCTCCTGGTCGGATCTGTGAAGCTCGCGGACGATGTCGTATGTAGAGGTGGAGGAATTGCTGCTGGAGCCCCTTGGGTGATGCGAGGTCTGGCTGAGAGCATAGAAATCCTGCTGCTGCTGCTGTTCCTGGCGATTATCATCGCCTTCCAGCCCCTTCATGAGCTCCACGGCATTGATCACCTCTGGGCGATCCTTCTTCTCCTGCTTGCCATCGCGATCAAGGACGCCATACGTACTGGATGTGAGCGCCACAAAGTGGTTCCGCTGGCGCTGCTGCTGGCGATCGTCAACAAGATCCTCATCCGCTGCGCGGGACCTCTTCCTCGATCTCTTGGGAGTGGCGCTGACGCCGGGATTATCCTCGCGCTCCGCCTGCAAATGCATCACTCGCGATGACGCGCACCCCATGTCTATCCCGGATCGATAGAGTGAAAGCCCTAGCCACAAAGAAAGAAAAAGATTGTTACACGGGGCTTCTTAAGTATCTTCAGGGCATCTGGAGCAGCCATGGCAACCATCAATGGCTGTTTTTTTCATCCAAATAGAACACATTCCGTTTAAAACAGTCACTAGCCGTTAGAGATAAAAAAACTATTCTACGAATATTCAATCTTAAAGGATATGCTACGAATATTTTGCCTATGAGTCTTTTTAGTCACTTTGCTTTGTTTCCTTTTCCACAATGGAGAGTTAACATTCACAGCAGGACGGCATTCCTTCCTATTCGAGCATACCTTTACATGGACCGACGAAGAAGTTCTCGCTCACTCGGCACCAGCGCTTTGTTGGAGATTGTTCGCATCGTCCAGGTATGTCTCGGAGTACTCCGGGAAATCCTGGACACTAGCCTCGTAGTCCACCTTTGGGTACACTGCCTGCTGCTGCTCGCCACCGCTCTTCCTCGCTGGATCGTTCATCCGTGACCGCTTCGCTGGGGGTGGATTCCCAGTTTCTTTTATTTCTTCTGGGGCATCGGCCTTCTTGTCCGAGCCTTGAATGCCCCTCGTCTGGATCCTCAGCTGCTCGTTCAGCCTTTCGTGCTCCTCGATCAGTTTCTCGAGGTACTTGGTCTGCGTCTCCAGCCGTAACTGGAATTGTCGTTGGACCTGTAAGGCGACATGTTTCCTCTTTCTTTCAAAAGGAAACGAAAGCTTTTCTAACCTCCAGCTGGTCTTGCAGGCGTTTCTGGACTTCGACTTGTACCCGCACAGCTTCCGCAAGATCGAAGGCTCTGTAAGGCGATTAGGAAAAGCTCAAAAACGGAGGAAAAAGAAAAAAGGAAAACGTACGAGTCAATGTGGGGAACCATGTCGTCCATTTTCTTTTCATGGTCGCCTCCTGGAACAAAACGTCCACAATGTCAGAGAGCTAGAAAGTTTCTCATTCATCATCACCTTCTATCATAGCGCCTGGAGTCGAGAGCCTAAACTTCTGTGATCGACGACGGCGCTTAGCGACAGTAAAAAAATGATTTTATTTTCCAAACACTTGCCTGCAAATGGCTCTTCACGTGATAGACCGTCAGTCCTTTCACCTCCATGTACCTCAAAACACCTTTGGGCGTTGCTCCTGTTCACACACACACCACAAACAAAAAGAAGAAAGCAGCAAAAGCTTAAGCTTGAATCGAAAGGAACAAGAGAAAAGGAAAGAGGGAGCGCTTTCTTACTGTCAGGACCACCAAGAGATTTCACAGCGTCCACGAAGCGATCGTGCAAGTCGGGCGTCCAGCGGAGGCGCTGCTTGACGGAGTTCCCAGCTCCAGAGATGCCGGGGCTGTTTGGACCACTGTCCTCGGAAACGATGTCGGGGGTCTCCTGCGTTGGCTGCAGCAAGCTCGCGGGCGAGAGCTTTTTGTCCTCGTACATTGTCTAACCAAGAAACGAAAGAACACAAAAAAAAAATTGAGAGAAAAAAAAAATTTTAGCCCCACGCACGGAGAAAACCCTCCCTCTCGTAACTAACAAAACTGAAAAGAAAGACGACGAGCGATCCGAGACGCCAAGAGGCTCGAATTCGCCAATTCGTGGCACGAATTAGGCCTAGAACACCACTGATTCTCGCGGCGGCGCGAGACACACAATTCAGGCGCTACGAATCTCACCATGGGTAGAGCGTTGAGCGCCCCGCTCCCGCTGTGCCAATCTTCCGCCAGCGATCGCCGCCGCGCAGCGCCTATGGCTGTTAGTGAATCTTGGGTCCGAGAATCTGTTCTATAAACCCTAACACAGGCACCACTCGAAGCTAATAGACGATTGTGGCCGTCGGATCTGTGGATCCGACGGCTGCCGTGCTTCTTGTTCTAAATGGGATCCCTGCATTGAGCGCTGCTTTCAAGAACCCTTGGCATATGCTGCTTTTTCAAAGTGTGGGCATATTCTTACGTTTGATTCATGCATATAGATTTACTGCGTAGGAACCAATTCATCAAATCCATGGCCGAAGCAGCAGCTATAAACCCGAGCTCGCGAAAGAAAGAAAAACTTGTAACTTGTTGGGGGAGTCTCTAGAATAATCCTAAAGTTCTAGCTAACAATCCGCGCTCGTCTTTGATCTTTTGTCATCAAAATCCTGGGCGAGGCGAGCGGGTCAACTCTCGGCTTTCGCAGCGTCTGGAAGCTCCTCCGGATCTGCAGACAGTAGAATCAGTTTTTCTTTTTTACGATCTTTCTGAGAGTACCAGCTGTTTTCTCCAGCGTCGTCGCTGTGTCGGTTTTTTTCGAGGCGTCCGGAAGAGTCTCTGGATCTAGCAAAACCATGAAATGAGGAAACTAGAGAGAAGACTACACTAGGAGAAAACAAACCTTCATCGTCGCTATCGGCTTCATTTCCACCCATGTCGAAGTTCTAAACACGGAAGCAAAAGAAACGTAAGATTCAAGACGAGCGAATGCGAGAAACAAGCATACCGAGAGATCACCAAGCCCGCCTAGTTCGAAATCTTCCGCTATCCGAGAAGAAGTTAGATCAAGACTGGAAAGGACAGAAGAGAAAAGGGAAAAAAGATCACTCACCACCACCACCACCACCTCCAACCTCGTTCTCCTCATCTTCATCAACCCATTTGTTCCAGTCCACTTTCAAGTAAGGAGGAGCTCTTCCCTCACTTTTGATTAGCCTCGGCCACCACATCTTCTCTGCTTTTTCAATGACAACGAAAATCTGCCGCGCGCCAGTGCTAATCTTACTCGCCTGCAAGTGAAGAACACCCTATTGTTAATAACACAAGGAAGAGGAAGAAAATGAGGGAAAGGAGAGCTCACCTCCACGTTAATTTCCTTGAACAGCTCCAGCTCCACTTCGTATTTCTCATCGCTAGCTCCAGCCGTCGCGGAGAACTTGAGCTTCCCTTGCGGCTCAATCTTCACAACCGGAGACTTGGCATCGGGCAGTTCAATGGTGAGAAACACGCGCTCTGAATGCTGCGCCCACACAATCTCTGGATGCCTGCTCACAAAACCATCAGATTTTCTCTCCAGGCGCCACAGATTCACAAAGAACAGACCTCATGGCGCTTCTCCGACGCACGAACAAACGACGACCTAACTGAGAACCCTAGATACCTAGTAAAGAAGAAATCGTGAGCCGTTGGATCGGCACGAAGCTAGATAATCCAACAGTGTCAGATGCGGTACCGGGTTTATTGGCGGTTAAAGCTTTCTTATTACATCATCTTCTTCGTGGCACCAAGAGTTATAGTCTTGGACGATTCCTTTGGATAGATCTCGCTCCAGGCTTGCCAGGATTGTCTCCATTGCCACATCGCCGGCGAGCTTCACTGCTTGATGCGGGAGGATCGACGGCAAGTCAATCGCCAGAGCCAGTGTTAGAAATCCCTCAAAAGAATGTGGCTCTTCTCCTTCATCTGTCCTGGGAAGTAAAGCTCCATACCTTTGGCGCTGTTTTACTACGCGGAGCTCTCCTTGAAGCGAGAAGTTTATGTCGAGATCGGGGCCTCCATGGAGCTTGACGTACAACTGTTGCGACTGGATCTTAAGAAGTTGCAAGGCTTCGTCAAAATCCACCCTGCGCGTGTCAATCAAGAGTCGAGAACCATGATTAGATCCCTGTGGAAAACAAAAACAAAGAAGAGCTTACTTGAAATCACAGACGGGTGTAGCTGACATAGAAAAAACTGAAACAGTTATCAACCGAGCTCGCCAGAGTGATCCTTCAATGTGCTGCGCACGAGCAGGCTCCTGGAATGTGATCCTTATAACACGATCCACCTGTTTGAGGTACTCTTGCGGGGATTTTTCCCTCTTCTCGCACGGGAGAAACAATTTTTTGCTTCGTTGAAATCTCGCAAGATGGCTCTTCACGGGAAAGTGAGCCGCCGGGTTCCAGCCTTGGATACGAAGCGCCATTGCTTCAGCTTGTTCTTCGACTTCCTGGAAACAATTAAAAACATGCCAATCCAAAGTGCTCTTGCTGATCTGTTTACCTTGCGTGTTGACAAGAAAGTCAAGGCACCATCCTAAGCAGCTGTTGTTTCTAAACACGCAGGATTTCCACAAACAACGTGCCAATTAAAACAGGAACACGAGACAAGGAGACTTCATACCTGTTCATGACTACAACGTGTCGCGAGTTAAAGGAGCTTGTGTAGAAGTATTCCGCTCACACTTTCGGTTGTTCTACATAGAGTTGTACGTTGAGAAACTGACTTTTCATCGATTTGATGGGCGTGATGAGGGGTGGATGCGCCCAAGCCCCAATTTCCGTGGGAATCCAGGCAAGATCACCGCTGCTTTCAGTAGTTTGCATCTGCTTTGAATACGCAACTAGCTCCCAAGAGCAATCTGTAGAGATAGTTGTAAGTGAGACAGAACAAAAGAACAAGCAAAAGAAACAAAAAAAAAAAACGCAGGGAGTAGGACCTGGAGGTAGAGGTAGCAACAAATGACGAGAAGCGCCAATCTTCATAAAAAACGCTCGCAGATCCGGCTCCAAGTCATTTAACCGAAACTCCCCCTCGAAAGAAAGATCCACTTGCAGTTTAAAGATGAACTTTTCCACTGCTACGTTCTCCTTATTATGCACCACGAGAGCTATTTTGTCGACGACACCCTGTTCAAGGCATGAGTGAAGAAAGGAAAACAATGCGATATACTGAGATACCTGTGTGATCCAAGTGTGCAAACTATACACAACGTCATGGATGTATTGCTGAAGCCCGGGATGGCGAGCCCAGTGAATGAGACAATTCATGTAGCGCCGCCGCTCGAAAACTTCTGTAATGAGCACGCCATGAGATCTTTGGAATCACAACTAGTAAAGCACGCAGGAAGTGATTCTAATGCGGAAGATTCAAACGCGCGAAGAAACGAAAATGCAGATGAATAGAGCCGCCACAAAGATCCAAACCATTGCGAATCTCAAATGCTTCTCACCTGGAGAGTATAATCCACGAATCGAGAGCAGTAGATGGACGGCGGCTTCCAGAAACTCGCACAGCAGCGTCGCAGCTGGATCTAGACACTCCAAGATCAATCAATCTCGCTGGAAAGCGGTGGAAACATACCTGTCGCCATTACCCCCGTAAGCCCCTCAAAAGCTGCCCTAAAGAAAGTGGAATATGCATTTGGCGACCGGGGCAAGGCGAAAGCACCGATTGACGCATTTGATAGCAACAAACCGGTGAGCGTATCAAACCAGGCAGCTTAATTTTTCTCACTACTTGCTATGTAACGGCCGAGCTAGTTCTTTTGTCGCGCCCTTCGTTCGTTCTTTTCTTTCCCAAAACCATAACTGTTCTTCCTATAACTTTTTTTCTCGCTTTATTTTTTCGTTTTTTCATGAAGTTTTTCATGGTCTGGGATTGAATGCTCGATCCAAATGCCTCTCTATCTCTAGTGTGGGTGTTTTCGATTGAACATCCACTAAGAATGGTTCTAAGGCTGTGTTTTCTCGTTTTTGCTTGGTTCTTTCTCTGATCTAGCACCTCTCTAGCACCTCTCTAGCACCTCCATGCCGACGCTCCAATGATCGCTCGGTCTTGCCACCCGAGTAACAAGCAGCCCTTGTCCTCCACAAGCGTGTATCCATCCGTCTGGTAGAGCCTGAGCAGAAGCTTGGACTGATGAACAGCACTGGGACTGAGTGCTACGTTGTAGAAGCCAATGCTCTCCATGATCTTACACCACTTGTCCACCTTCTCGTGCCTCACGATCCTCTGGCTCCCCTCGCAAGCCACAATGTTCATGATCTCGGACGAGAACACCACTTGCTCCACCTTGGCTCTCTCGGGGCTCACCTGCGGCAGCGTCGCCTCGAGCGAGTCGAAGATCGCCGAGTAGTAATGCATCGCCTCGAGAAACCTCTTGAGGAACGAGTTCGTGTTGTGGCTCGCCTCCTGCTCGACCAGCGTCACGATCCTCGGCGCTTGCTCGCGTATCATGCTGAGGATTCGCACCACCGGATTCACGACTAGATGGTCGTCGGTGAAAAGCCTGTGGAATCGATCGATGCAGTTCACTGCCAGTGCCTCGCCGTGTCTCCGGTGTAACATATGAGACTGCAAGTCCTCGAGCCTCTCCCCGACGGCGTGATACTCGAACGGGACGCGTAGAGTCGCGGCTAAGTCGGCTAGTCGCTTCCCAGTTTCTTGGACGGCCTCGAGCGGCATTCCCACGCCCGTGATTCTCAAGTGTGGAGCTCCTCCTTGCCTGGCTGCGAGTGCTTGCATGAAGGCTGGCCACTGATAACCCTGCAAGATCTCCAGGTCGATGATATGGACGCTTTGCTCGCCCTCGAAAGCTTCGAAGATCGCCTGGTTTGAGGTGAAGTGCGCGAACTTGATGTAGGGGCAGACTTGGTAGAGGATGTGGTAAGCTCCCAGGATTTCTTCCAGGGATGCTGGATCGTAGGCTCGCAGGGCAGTGTAGGATCGATAGCCGGTTCCGTTGAGACGAGCGTAAAGAGCGTCCGTGAAGTGAGTTGCGACTCGGTGGATGGAATCGCCGGTTGGAGAGGCGAGCTGCTTGAGTTGGTGGAGGAGGTTTCCAGCGTAGATGTAGTCTTCTTGGTCGATTTTCTCGCCGCAGCCGAGCAGCATGTGGATCAGCTGAAGCCCACCGACGTGAACAGTCTGTAGAGAGGATTTAGCAAGCCAAAATCTGGTTTTTGCATTCTTCCGAGAGGATTGGAGGAGGTGTTTACCTGAGCTCGCAGCAGTGTCGAAGGATCCTGGTCCAACAGTCCCTGCAGTGGGCTTGTGAGTGAAGATGGAGATGGAGGAGCTGGAAGTGGAGCAGCCATTTTCTTGCTGGAAGTTCCTCCCGGAGAGTGGTGGTGATTTAGAGGCGACGTCGAGTGGTTTAGAGAAGTTGGCAGGGATCGAGGAGCTACGGCGATGCTCGTAGTATTTGAAGAACAAAACGACTTGGTCTTCGATAGGTTCTTGGTGGTCGCGAGAGAAGAAGGAGAAGAAGAAGAGGTATGTTGGAAACTCTCCAAGTGAGGAGCACTGGGAACTTTATGGAGCAGCCCCGAGTCGCTGCTAAACATGGGCTCGCGGAACAAAGGCTCGAATTCCGCGCTGTAATTACCAAAGTGTTCTTGCGATGGCGAGGAACTGGACGATCCAGCAGCAGAGATGCGATCATACTTCGGTGGCAATGGTGGTGGTGTGGCTGTTCTTCCGACGATCGATGCTAGATCATCTCCGGACGATGGTGGCGGCTTGATCACCTCCTCGTCAAAGCCAAGCTGCTCGAAACTTCTCTCTGGGAGAATCTGGTGGAGGCTCTCGGGCTCGAGAAGATCGTCCATGAGATCCATCCATGACGAATCCGGGGACTGGAGGAGACAAGCATCATCCAGCTCGAAGATCTCGGCTTTTGGATCGATGAGCGCCTTTGTTCCACACAGAGAATCTTGCATCATGTTTGCTTCTCTCCTCTCTTTTTTTCCCCTCTTTTTTTACTTCTATCGACTATAGCATCTCCTTTTGAGCATAGATCTTTCTATCTCCATCTATCTATTCATCTACGAGTCTATGACACTAGAGAAAGCATGGCACACGATTAATGGAGGGCGACGTAGATATCGACATGCAAACCAAACTTACGTTGTCGCGCAGCATTTTGGCGGGACATTTGAGTTGTAATATACGTTTTTTGTCTCTAGGGCTAGGGTTTTTGGAGCGCCACGAAGGGCGATGGTCGCGGCAGCAATGCCGGATCTTCAAGCTGCGGTCGACGATTTCGTCATCAAGCTCAAACGCAGGTGTGAGAATCCTCCTTTCTTTCGTTTGATTCGATCTTCTAGATCGGTATTTCCTGGTGGAATCCTGATGGCTTGTGGATTTTAATGGCTGGCGCAAATGCTTCTCGCTCACCTGATTTTTCTCTTCGATGATCAGACAAGTGGAGGGGTCTCTGGCCACCGCAAAATCGACTGTGCTTCTACTTAGGCAAGTGGTTTCGCACCAAAGAATTCCCTCGTCCGGCCCAGCTTCGAGCCTGATTGATGCTGTCAAGTCTGTGGGATCGCGCTTGATAGCAGCCAACTCCATGGGTCAGTGTGTTGTTTTCTCCCTCTTCTCTTTTCCTCAGATTTTTTTTTTTTTTTCTTGCAGAGCTTGCTGTCGGTAACATGGTTCGTCGAGTTCTACACATAATTCGCGAAGAAGAAGCCACGATTGTTGCGGCTCAAGTTGGAGTTACTCCCGTGTCCGACAGTGATGACGATGCGGACGTCGATGGTGTTCCTGGACTTTCGGCTGTTGCTCTGGCAGCTGCAAATAGAACTGCTCTGAGAGCTCCTTCGCTTCACAATCTGCTGGAATCACTTCCAACTTCTGCCGGAGCTAACGTGGAACCTGTGCCCGAGTCCGATACCAAAAGCAGATGTAAGTGTTTTTATTTCACTTGCAATCGCTGCTGATATTTGTAGTTTTTGTGCAGCGAGTGACAAGAACTCTAAGAGCTGGAAGCTGAAGCACGGTGTAATCGACGCCATTGGTCTCCTTCTTGGCGAAATCGAGAACTATCATTCGGAGATTTCAGAGCAAGCGCTGGAGCATATACACCAAAAGCAAGTCCTTACTTTCTCTGGCCTTGACGTGTAAATGTTCTCTGCTCGTCCGTTACAGCGAGGTGATCCTCACGCTTGGACGATCAAGGTCACTGCTTCACTTTTTTCGAGAGGCGAAGAAGAAAAGATCGTTTCAGGTTTTTGTAGCTGAAGGAGCTCCAAGGTAACTTAATCTACATTCTACATTTACTGATTCCAGAGGCAGGTACCAAGGACATAAATTCGCCAAAGAGCTTGCTGCAATGGAGCTACAAACAACAGTTATCACAGACTCTGCTGTGTTTGCATTGATCTCTCGCGTCAATATGGTAAACGTTGGAGCGTATCCTGTAGATACTGGAAGCTGAGAATTTTCTCTGGAAGGTTATTGTAGGCGCTCATGCTGTTATGGCCAATGGTGGGATAGTCGCCCCGGTTGGCATGCATATGGTGGCTCTCGCAGCTCGTCGTCACGCGGTTCCTTTCGTGGTTCTCACAGGTCTCCACAAGGTGAGCGAGAAACTCACTACATGTATATCCTAACGGTCTGCCTACGCGATCCAGCTCTGTCCATTGTACCCACACAATCCATCGGTTGTACTGAACGAGCTAAAGTCGCCTTCGCAAGTTTTGGATTTCGGAGAGATGTCCGACTGCCTGGATGGCACCGACGGCTCTCCAGTTCATGTGGTGAATCCCATGTTCGACTACGTGCCGCCAGAACTCATCAGCCTGTTCATCACCGACTCGTAAGTTTCCATGAGTTGTTTGATCTGTGAACTGATTTGAGTCACACATTACTTTTTTTGTGCAGTGGTGGCCACAATCCATCCTATGTGTATAGGCTCGTAGCGGAGATTTACAGCCCTGAGGATCACTAAGTAGGAGAAGCGCGAGAAGACGAAGTTTGTGAAGGTTTGGATCATTTCCTCTATAGATGTTTTATCTTATGAGAGCTGTGCTATTTGACACAGCTATTTTTCTCAAGAGGCACTCCCGAATACTATACAGAGCTCTAGCTTTTTTTTGGATTATAAGGTGGATCTCATGCATCTTCATGGAAAGAAGCCAATGCGTGGAGCTCATCGAGAGTTGCAAGAGCTTCACCGCAGCGCAGGAGCTCCACAAAAAACTGCGCAACTCGATTCGCTCCACCGATTATTTTCTGTGCAACAAGCTCATCCAGATGCACACGCGCTGCGGCACAGTGAGGCAGGCCCGCGAGATCTTCGACAGCCTCTCAACCAAGCGGGCCTTCTCCTGGAATCTCATGCTCTCCGCCTACGCCCGAAATGGCCGCCTGGAGGAAGCGCAAGACCTCTTCGACGCGATGCCGGAACCGGAGCTAGCGACCTGGAACACCATGCTCTCGGGGTATGCCCAAAGTGGGCATTTCCGCAGAGCCCAAGAGATCTTCGACTCCATGCCGTGCAAAGACATCGTTTCCTGGAACGCCATCCTCGCTGCCTACACCCAGAACGGGAATCTCGACGAAACCGAGGCTCTTTTCGATCGCATTCCTTCACCCAATCTCGTGTCTTGCAACTCCATCCTGGCAGCATATGCCCATAGCGGGCATCCCTCTAAAGCTAAGAAAGTTTTCGAGGCAATGCCACTTCAGGACTTGATCTCCTGGAATGCTTTGTTAACTGGATTTGCGCAAGGTGGCGAAACGGGTGAGGCTGAGAAAGTCTTCCTAGCGATGCCGCAAAGAGACATAATCTCTTGGAATGCAATGATTACAGCGCATGCCCAAACTGGGCATATTGAGCGTGCGAGAGATGCCTTTGATCGAATGCCAGAACACGATCTAATCTCGTGCACGGCTCTATTGGGCGGGTTTTCTCAGAGCGGCGACCTGGAAGCCACAAAGAGACTGTTTGATTTGATGCCACAGCGTGATTCCGTTGCCTGGACTGCAATGCTCGCAGCATATGCCCATAACCGGCATCTTGCAAGAGCAAAGGAAATGTTTGATGAGATGCCAGTCAGGGACCGAGTATCTTGGAACGCCATGGTCTCGGCATATGCCCAAAATGGGCACCTCAAAGATGCACAGAATATGCTTGACCAGATGCCGTGTGGCGATGCCGTGTCCTGGAGCACGATGCTCGGCGCATACGCCGCTTCTGGTGACGTGGCCAAGGCGGAGGGGATATTCAAGAAAATGCCACAGCAGAGCCTTGTGGCGTGCAACGCGATGCTGTCGGCATATGCCCATTACGGGCATCTTGAAGATGCCAAGCGCGTGTTTGAGTATATGCCCAGGCAGGACCTTGTATCGTGGAACGCAATGCTGTGCGCATATGCCGCAAACGGGCATCTTGAAGAGGCTAGAGGCATTTTTGTAAAAATGCCTCAACAAGATGTGGTGTCGTACACCGCCATGTTGGCTGTCTTTGTACAGCATGGGCATGTAGAAGAGGCCAAGTACATCTTCGATACGATGCCTCAAAGGGACCAAGTGTCGTGGAACGCAATGCTTGCGGCATATTCCCAGTCACGGCATTTGGAGTATGCACTTCAGTTATTCCACGGGATGCCACAGCGTGATTCCGTGTCTTGGAATACAATGGTGTTCGCATACTCACAGGCCGGTCACCTGGAATGTGCGTGGAAACTTTTCAATGCAATGCCTGAACGAAATGTGATATCGTGGAGCTCAGTATTGGCTGCGTATGCCCAGAACGGGCATACCCGCGAGGCTTTTCAATTGTTTGATAGCATGAAAGTAGAAACCATACCGGATGAGATTTGCTTTATTCTTGTGCTGATCGCAACAAGCAGAGCTGGGAAAGTTTATGACGCAAGGACTCGCTTCGTTTCCATGGTATATGATTTTAGAATAAGAGCTTTGAAGCAGCACTACTGCTGTCTTCTGGACGTGATTGCGAGAGCCGGATACCTTCACGAGGCCGAGGATCTTATCACAAGTATGCCTTTTGTTCCAAAGGTTTTGGAGTGGACATGCTTGCTTGCGGCCTGCAAGAGTTACAACGATCTTGAGAGAGGAGCCAGGATGACAAGCCGAGCTGTGGAGTCCGACCCCAGCAATGGATCTGTCTACGTGCTGCTTGCCAACACTTACTATGGAGGGGTCAATGCGTGAGCGACATGAGTGGAACTGTAATTGAGCATCTAAGATCGCTGGACTCTGGGTAGTCGGCTCGCATCTTAGATCTCAACTGTGAGAGGATATCCATTTTTTTCTGACAACGAACTTCTTTTCTATTATAGAATGTTCGCAATGATCCATCCATTCTTTTCCTTGTTGCTGTTGTTCTGTAGACTTTTCTAAGAGGTTTATTGATGCGACTACAGACTTAGTATATAACATACCCTTTCTCTACTGTGCTTCTGTCAACATTTGATTTGTATGGGATTCAAATTTTGTTACAAGCACAGAAAGGTGAATACATTATATTTACATATTTACTGAAGATCAGTAAAAATCTATGGTATAATATTTGGAATATATAATTTACTCATTCTTAAATAGCACACCTTTGATGTTATAAGATATATATACATATGTATAAACACAACTATTATATGGTGTATAGATATAGATATATAAGGATAACAAATACAATTAGGATTATCCTAGTGCACTAGGACATATTACATAGATATACATCTTTAATTAGTACAGAATTAAACTAAACTAAAAGTGATTACATGTTTTATATTTTTATGTTTATTAATTTTTTATATAGCAATTAACAAGGAATAGTAAAGAAAAATAATTTCTTTATATAAAGTACTAACTTTTTTTAGCTTTTAAATATTTTATAAACTTCCTTATAATTATAATATTTTAAGACTAGAAACCTTAGTAGAAAGTTTCAATTAAAGAAGCTAAAATATATAGTTTCAATAGTTATGAATTTATCTAAAACGTCATTAAACATGAAAATCTTAACCATCTTTATATTTAGTGTAAATATCTTATATAGTATATATTGTTTTATTCCTAAAGGAACTGTTTTATGGGGCAGAAATAACACTTTAAATGAAGAAGAAATTGAAAATGTTTTAACTCAAATAAATAATCTTATATCAGAAATAATAACAACAAGATACTATCCACATGATTATGAAAATTCTTTATCTTTTGATTTTTTATGAGGTGTTATTGTTACACAAATTGAACGTATACCAAATAATTATCAACATTGTTTAATTAGAAATACAAATTTTGTAAATGGAGCCTCACTTTCTAGAAGTTTACATAATTTATTAAATATATATAAGAATGATATAATAAATACTCGTTCAAATTCTTGTCAAATTAATGGTTATACATATCAAATTCGATACTCTTTCTTTTTTTATAAAAATTTATTAAACTCAGACTTATTTGATAATAAAATAGCTATAAAAGATAAATGCCTAACAACCTTAAATGCTGGATTTGAAAATAATATTCTTTATACAGGGCAATTTTTAAGATCTACAAATGGAAAAAACATATTATTAATTGAATCAAATTGTAAAGTTTCATTATATTCTGGAAAAAATACTTTATGGAGATCAAATAATAAAGAAACTTACTATGGTTTGTGCTTTCTAAAACTTCAGATTGATGGTAATCTTGTACTATATACAAAAACAAATAGAGTAATGTGGTCTATTAATCAATACTGTTCTAGTAGTCCAAATTGTTTTTTATTTACTTATATTAAATTGGAAGATAATTGTAATTTGGTATCTTATATAATACATAGTAGAAACGTTTGGTGGACTACCAATATAATTGATTAAACTGGATGTTTAAATTAACAGTAAATTTGTTTTAAGCTATCAATAAACTTAATAATGACTTTTATTTACTTTTGGTTTTCTTGGGTGTAAAATTTTCCTAGAATATATAAGTACATTCTTTTCTCTAATTCTTTTCTACTCAATTTTTCACTAATTTTCTCTATTTACCATATTTAACTCTGTAATTAAATTGTTAAATATTCTTATTAAGAATTAGAAGTAAAACATTACAATTTTACTAACTTTCTGGATAGACTTACAAACATACCTTTAACTTTCTTCTATGCTTCTATACATGTATCATAGTAAGGTTTAAGACTCTCATATCTGGATCACTTCAAACCTCCAAGAAGTACCCTGAAAAGCTTCTCTATAGTGGTAATAAGTGCAACAAAGTGGGATGATTGAGAGAAGTGGATGGAAAATTAAATGCCAAAAGTCATAAGGCTTGGTTCCATGTGTCCCTCTAGAGGAAGTTTTTTAAGGGGGGAAACTTTTAACCCCTTGTTCCATGCACCCCACCAGTGACATGGTAGTGGAAATGGGAGGAAGGGGGCAATTGGGTGTCCTCTTTGAAAATTTCTCCAGGTGCCTGGAACCTGGTAGAACAAGTCAATAAAATAGTGCTACGTGTAAAAATAATAATCATTACTTAGAAAAGACAAAATGAATTTAGCTGAGTTGGCAAAAACTATATTATCATGTGGCATTTTCAAGGGTGGGTTACATATAACCTTAAGATTTTAGAAGAGGGGAGTTTTTTTTTCTAGGGTGGAGAAATTTCCAGGTGGGGGACATATGGAAACCAATAGTTGAATTATGCCAAAACACTAAAACTCTACAATAAATAAAGTGTATTGCATTGGAGAAAGTCCTCATAATACCAAAGAGAAAGATGAAAGATGGAACAGTTGGACGAATAAGCAATGTTGTGGAGAATGAATAATGAAGAAAAATAGGACTGTGAAAAGTGTGTAGATGGTGAAAAGAGAGGGTTGAAAGAGATGTGAAAAAAATTGATGAATGTAGCAAAACTTGGGAAAACTTGAGCTTTTAGATGATCAAGATTACCTAAACAAGAGATTGCTTCACAATGAACCTATGACTTCAGATTTGAAAGTAAGACAAAGAAAGAGAAAAAAAAAAGAGAAAAGAAAGTGGGGAAGAAGTCATTGCAGTAGAGATGGCAGTGAGATGATGTGTCATGAGGATGTAGAGGGCTGGAAGCTCTAACACAAGACATGCTGGATGTCTTCTGTCATTCTAGATGCCAAAGTCAGGAACTTGCACCAATATTCTAAACTCTGTGATGTTTAGGTCACACAAAGCCGAAAGCTGTGTTGTAAGGGTTGCAAGCTGAGTGGAAAACTCTAAGTTGAGATCCCTTACCCATGCAGTGTAGGAGATGGTGCAAAGAGTCTTGGAGATCTGAGAGTCAGCCGAAACACTTGCTTTCACCACCTTTGTCACTATGAAGCTGTGGAAACAGCAAACTGCTCTAAACAGGTGAAGTTGTGCCATGGCCATGCAAGCTGTGCAGTGCAGCACAGATTCACAAAGCCGGCAGTAAAACCTTGACTGGTAAACCTAGTGGGTGAAATTGCTTTAATGTTGAATTTATATTATTTTAAGGGCTGAGATTAAAGGCAGTATTTTGGGTTTATAATCTAATAAAAATGTTACTAATAGAATCAGTAAAGTCAAACAATTCTCTATGTCTTTAGTTATAATGGTTTTATGAGGAGAGAAGGTCTTTCATGTTGCAAAGGTAACCACATGACATCTATGACAAAGGCCTTTAATGTTTTTGCAAAATAATAAGATTCTAAATTAGATTATAAAATCAAAAATAAAAAGTATAAGACTGATTTTGCTATGAACTTTATAGTTGATTTAATTAATTCTAACTCCCTGGAGACTTGGCTCTCTAAGCCCCCATATGTTAAAGGAATTTAAAAATTAATTATTGGGTTTGTAGTGTTTTCCCTCTATTTTAAAAACTAGCTCTCATATTTAAAACTAAAAAATAATTAAAATTTATTTTCAAATTTTTTATTCATTAATATTCTATTTTATACAAAATTGATGTAATATCCAGAAAAAATGGAAATGTCCTATGAGACATCTAGAGCAATTTTATATATATATATATATATATATATATATATATATATATATATATATATATATATGCCTTTTATAAATGAAAATGTTTCTATTGTGTCTCTAGAAGATCCATAAAAATTATAGTTTAGATATGATAGAATTTCATTTAAAATGATTTTAATATTATTTACTTAAATCCTTTATATAAATATAAATATGTATATACATATACATACATACATATATGGCCAATTATCTTGCAATAATATTTATAAAGAGTTTCATAATTGTGACAGTGTGGCTCACCAAGTATATGGTATTATTTGACCACTCTTTAGACACTTATTGGTGTCAATGATGCTGTGTAAGTAGATGCCCTAATACTTTAGCTTGCAATACAGTGTAAAAAAATTATGTCAAGACCATATATTCAATGTGCTAAGGGAAATTTACTGTCAATACATTAGAGTTTCATAGATGACTGCATGCTGAAACCATATGGGGAATCAACTTTGCAAAAATCACTCTAGGCAACTATGAGTTAATGCAACTCTTATCACTCTCTAATCCATTTTATATCCTGTGTATATTTGTTTGCCCATAATCCCCCATATCACACATTATAAGAAAAGCTCCTCAAGTGAACCATAGAAACACTCTTGAGAGGATACATCTCTTCCCAACCTATAATTTTAAGATACCAATGCAATGTGCATCAATCCATCCCTCAATTTAACACTCACCATACAAAAACTTCTTTATTTGTTACAAAACCATTCAATTACAAAGTGTTTTTTATTACCCTCAATGCCCTGTGATGGCAAACTCAACTTGTGTTTAAAATTTAGCTTGTATACTGAAAAATGTTATGCCTACAAAGTCTAAACCCTATTGTTGATGTGTCAAAAAAGCTGATGACTATATTCTATCTATAGAAAAATCATTGTGTTGACATATATGTGTATAACAATTCAAATACAAATTTGTGTTAATTTTATATATCTTACAAACTTTTACATTTTTTTACAAGGCTGCCCACCTGAGTTACTCCTACCAAAACCTACCATCACAAATCTCAAAATTTATATTGGTGGATTTCAAATAGGAGGAAAGTTCCTCTATATTTGGTCCTTTACAAATTGCTTTTTGAGTTATTTTCTTTAGTTTTTTCTAATTTATTATACTTCTTTGCAAGTTTATGCTTTTGTGAATGAAATTTAAAAACTTTGAAAGCATTATTCTTTTGTCACTCTACCCTTTGGGTCAAATTAACCAAACCAAACTAAATTGCCAAATGTCAACCAAACCAGATTAGATTGCTAAATGTTAATCTCAATATATAATATAATTTTCAAGCTAATAAATAAAATCACTTGTTATACCAAATGTAAACTCTTGATTTAAACCTCAAAATCTCAAAAATCTCAAATTGAAGTTAAGTTATGCTTTAACAATACACATAAAATCCATCTTATTCCCCCGTATCTAGCCGGGGAAAATATCTAAAGAGTATTTCTAATATTCCAAAAGTAACTACCAATCACACTTTGCCAATCCAAATGTAATACGGCACCTTCAGAATAGGAACGTATGGGATTTTGCCAAAGCTGTTATCCTCGTAGACTGAAGAAAGATTGTTAGCCATTGGAAAGAAAAGACTTTACCAGTTGCAAGTCGATGCTCGAGATATTGTCGTCGTTCAGGTCCCAAGTCAATACAATCCAAATCAAACACGGCCCTCCAAAACCAACGACGGAGCCAAGAGTGCTGCCGCTCGGGCTTGTCAAACTTTGCAGACGTCGTGAAATCGGCCACTCCCACGATTCCATCCACGTCGAGATAGGACAGAGCCCGGTCTATCACCTTGATAAACTGCGGTATCACTGTCATGAACGACGACGAAGCAAAACTTGAGTGTCACGGCGAGCTCGGAAACAAAACAAATGTGAAAGAGTCTGCTCTCGCTTACTTGACAGGGAGTACGAGAATGTAACGAGAGTTGCGGGAGCCGGAGGCCGAAACTCGCAAGCGTCCTCTTCAATCACCTCGACGTTGGTCCATCCGAATCCCTCCACCTTTGCGGCAGCCACATCGCACAAGGCGGAGCAAAGATCAACCACGTAAATATTCTGGAAAGCCGAGAGGTCCAGGCACCTGGATAGCATTCTCACGTTCTCGGCGGTGCCCCCTCCCAAATCGACCCACACCATCCCGGATCGTCCCTGGAGCCGTGACGCACACTCAACCAGCATTTGTTCTCTCCCGTGGAGAAAGCCGGCACGAAAAGCGTCGTCTGCAGTTAACCATCATCTCAGTCCTTCCTCTCTCTCAAGAGAAAAGAAGCAGACAAACGAAAGAGGATACTTACATGCCTGTGCCTGCGAGCTGTAGAATGCCTGGAGCCGCTCCTTGTGAGTGTCACCAGTGATCCTCCCAAACCACATCGCCGCCAGGCACTGCATGTCTTGTTTCACGCTGTGGACCATCTGCGCCATAGCTCTTCAAGGGAGAGAGGAAGAGAAAAATATCATCCAGAGTAAAAACAAACCTATCTTGACGTTTTGTTCTTCGATGGCTACGCCGGCGAAACAGCTCCTGCGATGATTGAGTAAGTTGCTGGAAGAACAGTAGAACAGCAGCCCCAAGAATATATCTCCTCCCACCTTGAGTTTTCGAGTTCCTCTCCTCCACTCGAGCAGCTCCAAAGTCAAAAGCCATGGGTGTGGCAGTAGCAGCGGAGTCGGAGAAACGAGCGGCGCCACGCCTCCGCTACAACAGCCCTCTTGTCCAGGTGATCCTCATCGGCTTCGTCTGCTTCTGCTGCCCCGGGATGTTCAATGCCTTGAACAGCATGGGAGGCGGAGGCCAAGTCTCCAAGACCGCCTCCAACAACGCCAACACCGCCCTCTACGCAACCTTCGCGGTGTTCGGAGTCTTGGGCGGCGGGATCTACAATCTCCTCGGCCCCCGCTTCACTCTCCTCTTCGGCTCCAGCTTCTACGTGCTCTTCGCCGGCTCGTATCTCTTCTACAATCACCACCAAGACGCCAAAGGTGACGCCTTCAACATCACCGCCGGAGCTCTCCTCGGCATGGGAGCCGGGCTACTCTGGGCTGGCCAGGGAGCGATCATGATGTCCTACCCCCCCGAGAGGCTCAAAGGCCGCTACATATCCATCTTCTGGAGCATCTTCAACCTGGGAGCTATGATCGGTGGCTTCCTCCCCTTCGGCCTCAACTACAACCGGCCGAATGCCCAGTCCGTGAACGACGCCACCTACATCGGCTTCATGGTGATCATGTCCTTCGGCTCGCTGCTCACGCTGGCCCTGCTCACGCCCGACCGAGTTGTCCGAGACGATGGAAGCCGAGTCACTGCCATCCGCTACTCCAATCCTTTCACCGAGGGATGGGAGATCCTCAAGCTGTTTCTAACACCCAAGCTGCTGCTCCTGGCCCCTGCTTGCGTCGCTAGCAATTTCTTCTACACGTACCAGTTCAACGGCTTCAATGCGTCGCTCTTCAACGTGAGAACCCGCGGCTTCAACGGTGTCTTCTACTGGGGAGCTCAGATGCTGGGAGCCACTGTTCTTGGATTTCTCCTCGACGCCTGCCACCCGAGGAGGAAAGTTAGAGGATTCGTCGGAATCGCTGTGGTGGCAGTGTTTGGGATGGTTACCTGGGGTGGCGGCCTTGCCAAGCAGCTGGAGTACTCGCGGTATGATCTCCCTCCCGAGCTCGACTTTAAGAGCGGACCTGAGTATGCCGGACCGTTTATCCTGTTCGTCTGCTATGGACTGCTCGACGCTATGTACCAGACGCTGTGCTACTGGACGATGGGAGCTCTCACTGACGATGCTCTAGCGCTCAGTCGCTATGCTGGCTTCTACAAGGGAGTGCAAAGTGCTGGAGCAGCGGTGGCATGGCAACTGGACGCACACAAGGTCAGGTTTTTAGTCCAGCTGCTCGTCAACTGGGGACTCTTGGTGCTCAGCATCCCTCTGCTAATGCTTATAATGAAAGACGTCAAGGACTCCTGTGCAGGAGATGCACCACTTACAGCCGAGAGTAGCGCTAAAGACGGTGAGACCGCCAAGGAAACAGTATGAAGCCTTTGTAAAGTCACTGGAAGGAACAAAAGAAAACAGAGCTAAGTGTTTTTCAGCACGTAGAATTCTGGCCAAGCACCTGTGGATTGCCGAATGTATCCTCGTCGCCATCCTCGACTTTCTTTCGCCTCTCCGCGATCATCTGTGTGTATGCCTGCGCGGGAAGAACAGTGAGTGCTACAAACAAAGATAGAACTAGAAAAACTTCTGAAAGTTTACCTGTGGATACGAGTAGAGGAACACAAACCACCATGCTGCGATCACCAAGGTGACGAAAGAAGTAACCGGAATGGAGTGGAAAACTGGCCAAGACGCTCCAATCGTCAGCATTCCTGTGGCTACAATGCTCCAAGGCTGGCACCTGGAAGCAAGTAGCAAGAGTAGAACAAAGAAGGAGCTTTCAAGACGTACCAGGCAGGCTTTGTATCCCAAACGCTCTCGTATTCCAGCGACAAATCTTCCAAGTATTGTTCCATGTCGTCCACGGCTCGCTTTCCAGCGCTCCCATTCCCTGAAGCAAATGCCACAGTTTCCCGCTTCCTCGGTTCCCTCCTGCCAATGGCAATGGGCCTGCCATTCCGGCGCTGGCTCACAGACCTGAGACAATCTACGCCTGTGAACAACGAGGGGAGGAGCAACAATGCCGCCATAGCCAGAATTAAAACGAAGCCACAAAATCCCTATAAAGGCAGTAACTCTTTAAAGAAGAAAGCTTCATTTCTTCAAACTTACATTACATTATCGTTACCATTCAGAAACACTGCTGCTTTGCTACCTTCGTTTCTTCTTCTGCACCGCAAGGAAACAAAAACAAGTGAGTGAACTCGCGAAGAACTAGAAAAACGAAACTTGCAAGAACTTACAGGATGAGGTGTGTACGCAGCATCCACTGCTGCCGATTGCTTCTTTTTCTTCGTTGGCGGTGGCTCGTCTTCACCATCGCTGCCAGAGAGCTTTGGCCATGATCTCCTTGCTGGAGACGCATTCTGGAACGTGTTTGATGCATGTGTAAGAACGTGTTAACAGAAAAGAGGAATAGTATTGTTTTACCTTGACGAGCTTCTGGTCTTTCCTTGTATGTCTGTCTAGTTCCTGAATCTCCCTCTCGATCAAGCGGATCAGCGTGTCGCACCGCCTTGCGAGCTCTCCCGGGGTTCTCGACTTGATGAACCAGTCGAATCTGAAAATGGGTGACATGCGAATGGCGGTTTTGATCTCGTCCCAGTTGCCGTATCCGAGTTTATTCGTCATGCAGATCTGGAGAAAACGATCGGTACGGTTTGTGGTATCAAAACCAAACAAGCTTACCAAAAACCTGTCACATTCTTCATTGTATAGTTTACCCTTGTTCTGACCGTACTGGATTTTCAGCTCTTGCCACGGATTTTTGTATCGGTCCAGCTTCTTCCCAATAGTTCTCATGATTTCATCTTTTCTTGCGATGCGAGCCTCCCCGCGTTCAATGGCTCGCAAAATTCTGTCGTAGTCTAAATTACAGTAGCAGAACAGCTTAAACAATATGTTTCTTGACAAGGAAAAGCTTACCATTGAGCTCTTTGTAGCGTTCTTGAAATACCCTACAGTATCGTTCGACTTCCTCTTCGGTTTTTCCTTCCATTTCATTTGCAATGCTTGCAAAGTCGAATCTCCCATACTTCTCGCAACCTCTTACAAAAGCATTGAAATCTCGACGTGTCCAAGTACAAAATCCCTGACAATGCAGAATGGTTAAACTTCATGAACCACATCCAGTGGCAGTACCTCCTGAAGCAGTTGCTCCTTTTCTTCTTGCTCTTCTGCCGTGAGAGGCTCTCCATCTGCTAAAAAATGCTAAGAGAGGACTCGTTCAATTCAAAAGACCAACCTTCAATCTCTTCTGTCTCGGCGTTTCCTTCTTTTTGAGTTTTCTGATCAAATATCAGTCAGAGCTAGAACTTTCACAAATCGCATGAAAATTACCAAGCGAAACTTGACTTCTTTCTCGTACAGTTCTGTCAGCCGGTGAATGTTGAAAAATTGAAAATCGTGTCTATGTAACATTAAGGCCCCCAAGTAAAGCAACAGCATTTTACGTAAAGGATACAGTTGAGGCATTCGAGGAATTCGTGGCTCTTTAGATTTGCTCGATCCACCGGTTCTCATTGCTTGCTTGAAATAATCGGATTCAGAGTAGCTACAATAGTCAAGAGCATTAGAGAAAAGGTTGTTTATTCGAAGAAAGACTCACTTGCGTTTCCTTTCTCGCTTAGGTGGCTCAATCCAATTATCGGCAACTAGTTTTTTAAAGTCAACTTTACCTTCCTCCTGCACACACAGGCAATTTGATTATTTTCTACTAGGCACAACGCGATACTCTAACCTTGTCATCGTTGCCATCAAAGTCGTAAAATTCGGCAGCTGTTAAACGAAACGCTAGATAAGGAGAACACAAAAACGCACTAGAACTTACTGTCGTCCATCTTAAATTTGATGGCGTCCTCCGTAAATTTCTTCATCTTGGCATCAAGTTCAGCAGTGGCTTCTTCTCCTTTTGCAATGATGCGATCAATATCTTCCTCCGTGATAGTGCTGTCATTGGCGCTAAATACCATCTCCGCGCCAAATCTTACCATCTGCAAGAGCTCATCTTTGTTGACAGCTGCAGCGAAACGGAATGATTACAGAGTTTCAAACAGAGTTTGAGGAACCTCTCTGTTCAGCTAGTCGACCCTGTTGGATCACCAAAGCATCCAGTGCAAGCTTTTTGTACGCGCGTTCAATGACTTTCTCTTCAATAGTATACTGAGAAACAGAAAACGAGTCAGCAAAGAAATAACACACAAGTCATCCTTTTACCTGCGTGCAAAATCGGAAAACTTGAACTTCTTTTTTCTGTCCAATCCGATGTGCTCGATCTTGCGCTTGCAAATCGACTTGAGGATTCCTGCAGCATAATTTCTAAAAACATGCCACTCAGAACAAATCATTATTATTACCAGTCACTGTCATAGAGAATAACGATATCGGCAGTAGCCAAATTGATACCAAGACCGCCGGCTCGGGTCGAAAGCAAGAATATAAACTTCTCACTTCCTTCTCTGTTGAAAGCCTCAATGGCAAACTCCCGGTCCTCACCGCTAGTTCCACCATCGATTCGGCAAGATGGATATCCTCGAAAGATACAGTAGTCTTCTAGAATATCTAGAAGACGCGTCATCTAGAAATGTGTAGTGTGTCAAGCATTGGAGCACATCAAGCTCAGCTCATACCTGAGAAAATATTAGTACGCGAGAACTTCGCTGCTTGAGTTTTGGGAGAAGCTTGTCTAGAAGTACCATCTTGCCTGCAGAAGTTCGTTTTGTAAACCTTCAGTCATGCAAATTCGGCATACCAGAGTTTTCCACAAGATGCTCCCCAGTGAAATACGGAGGCCCAGGTTCGGCACCCTGGAAGAGGTATGGATGGTTGCAACATTTACGTAATTGCATGGCTATGTTTAATAACCGTCTACGCTCTCCGCCTGTATTAATAGCGTCGATGTCTTTCTGAAGTAAAGCCTTGTAGTAATTTCTTTGCATCTGAGACATCCCAACTTTGAGGATTGTCTCCTTCTTTGGGGGTAATCCTCTTTCAACATCCGACTTGAGACGTCTTAAGAGAAATGGGCGTAAGACCTGAGAAAAAGTGTTACTCATGGTTGATTTATAAATGCTGGATAAGTACCTTGTGAAGTTGCTGAATGACCTCCTGCTGATCATTTTCTCCAGAAATCTGAAACCACTCGTCAAAGGTCTCAGCAGAGCTAAAGATTTCGGGCAGGAGAAAATTCAAGAGCGCCCACAGCTCGTGCAGGTTGTTCTGTGGTATAAAAATGGGAAAACAAGGAAAAAGGGTAAAATAAATAAGCACGTTCACAACTATCTTGTACCTGAAGCGGTGTTCCAGTAATAAGAAGCCTATAGTTTGTGGAGAATAAACGCATGGTTTTCGCAAGCAGAGAGTTTTCATTCTTGATGCGATGAGCTTCGTCGATGATGATGTAGCGCCAACTGAATTTCTTTAAGGCCGCCCTTTCTTTTATTGCCATTTCAAAGCTTGTTACACAAACATCGAACTTGCCAGCAACAAGCTGATAATCCCTTTGTTGTGCCTGCAATACAAGTAGACAGCTGTTGAGCGCACAAAACAAAATAAATCGAGTTTTATTATTACCCTTTCGTCTTGTGTTCCATGAAATTTGAAAGCCCGTAGCACGGGACAGAACCTCCGTATCTCATTCATCCAGTTGCCTAGAGTTGATTTCGGTGCAACCACCATATGTGGACCTGAAATGCCTCTGGACTCGTGGAGGTAAGCCAGAAGAGATATCGTCTGCAACGTTTTGCCAAGCCCCTGCAGTCACAGAGAAAAGAGTTTGAGAGAACTAACAGAACATTTGCTACCATTTCGTCGGCGAGAATTCCATTTATCCCGTTTTCGTAAAGCCTTATCAACCAGTTAAGACCCGCAAGTTGATAGTCCCGCATTTTTCCAATAATGCCTGAAGCAATAGTTAGTGAATCGTAAACAGCAAAGGAAGCACTTACAAGCTGGTTGTGCGACAAGCCTTGTACCTCCGGAACCCCCTGCTCCATCACCCAAAGCAATTTCTTCTTCCTTCAAATACTCAGCGTCCTCCTCTTCTTCTGTCATCTTCGACGCATGTCTACCCCTAACGAGCAAAACAGTCGTGAAAAAATGCTCACGAAAAATCTCATGAACCTTACTTGCCGCCAGCTTTTTTCGCTTTGGCTTTCTCGGCTCCCTGTGCAAAGTGAGCAAAAATCTCCGTCTGCTCCAACAGAAACTTGAGCCGGCCTTTCGCCTTCGTTTTCTGAACAAGAAGAAAAAAACGTTATTCGTTTCAAAGCATCCAAAGAACAACGGAAACTTGCCATGTCCGCATCAACGAGGGAGTTTTGCTTCTTGAGAAACTTGTCCACTTCTTTCTTCTTCTTCTCCTTGAGCTCCTTGAGCCTCTCCTTCTCCCTCCTCGCAATCTCGCGCTTGGAAGGCGAGCCAAGCTACGCAGAGAGAAAGCTCGAACCGATAAACATAGCTACATTTTTGTACGGAAGAACACTCTGACTAGTCTAGAACAGACCTCGTCGTCGGAATCGTCGTCCCCGTCGGCCTCGTCCGCCATGGATTCTTCCTCCTCGCCAGCTGACTCGACGTCCTCAGCTTCCACATCTTCTGGCCGCGCTGCTTCTTCGATCTCCTCGAGTTCCTCCTCCTCCTCCTCGTCATTCTGTGGCACTACCTCTTCTTCCTCCTCCTCCTCCTCCTCCTCGGACGAAGGAGAGGGAGATTTCCGGCGCCTCGCCATCGCTCCCCAGCAAATAACCTAGAATGCCGCTCCCTCCCCTTTTACTCCCTTTTCCCTCTTTCCACTACTTAAAGCCACTGGAGAAATATTATAGGGCTTGAGGGAAATGGGCGGGGCGGACATGGGAGGATCCGTGAAGCGAGCGACGATCGATGCTGTCGCAGGCGCTGTAGCTGGAGGAATCTCCAGGACGATCGTGGCGCCGCTCGATGTGATCAAAATCCGGTTCCAGGTAAGGCGATTTCCTCGCTCACAGGCTCAATCGCATCGTCTTCTCGCTTCCCAGGTCCAGCTAGAGCCGACGAGCCGGCGATTGAGCCAAGGATCTTCATCCTTTCCAGGCGGTGTCTCGAAATACACGGGCATCGCACAGGCTATGCGAGACATTTTCCGCGAGGAAGGGATCCCGGTAAGAGAAAAAATCCTTTTTCTTTCTAACAAAGGGATAGAAGATAGATCGCGTTGCATGTGATAGGGCCTATGGAGGGGAAATGTTCCAGCTTTGTTGTTAGTCATGCCGTACACTGCTATACAGTTCGTCGCGCTGCAAGGATTTCGATCCACTTTCTCCAAGGGAGGTCGGCATCTTCTCTAGAACTTTGCATAGAGCATCCTCTTCTTTCGTCTCTTTTACTACGTGCCTCTCCAGCATCGATTTTTTATCACCATTGGAGTTTGATCCTAAGTTTTAGCGGTTTGTGTGCAGGTGATGTTAGTCCCGTCCTGTCGTACGTGAGTGGAGCTGCTGCGGGGTGTGCTGCAACTATTGGATCCTATCCTTTTGATCTTCTACGTACGATTCTCGCTTCGCAAGGTGAACCAAAGGTGAATATTTTCTTTCCCGTGTTTTGCCGCTGAAAGATGTATATGTTCTTCAGATTTATCGTTCTATGAGACACGCATTCGTAGATATACTACAAACAAGAGGATTTCGAGGCCTCTACGCCGGACTAACTCCTTCCCTGGTTGAAATCATACCTTATGCCGGGCTCCAATTCGGCTCGTATGACACCTTCAAGCGATGGGCACATGTAAGAAGACTTGTCTTTGGTGTCACTTAAAGTTTATCTCTCTCTCTCTCTCTCATTCGTTGTGCAGCGTCTGGATCAGTGGAGGGGTGTAGACCGCCCGGAGCTTTCAGGCATGCAACACTTTTGGTGTGGTCTAGCTGCGGGTACGTTCTCCAAGACGTGCTGCCATCCACTAGACGTTGTCAAGAAGCGATTCCAGGTGCGAAGTCTCTGTCAATCGCTTTCGTTTTTCATCTTCTTCCGGTGTAAAAACACCCTTGTTTTCTCTTGTTTTCAATCACCCAGGTGGAAGGCCTAGCTCGTCACCCACGCTACGGTGCTAGAATAGAACTCAAGGCCTACAAAAGCATGGTCGACGCGATCCGCCGGATTGTACAGCAAGAAGGCCTGGCCGGGCTCTACAAGGGGACTTATCCGTCAGTTATAAAAGCTGCGCCAGCCGCTGCCATCACATTCGTCGTTTACGAGAAGGCTTCAAAATGGCTAGAGCTACGGTGGTGACGAGGTGATATCTACCTTCTATCACTCACATATATGGTTTTAATTTCTCGTCAAGCACAGTGACAGGGAAAGCACGCACACCACCACCTCTGACACTGGTGGTTCGTGAATCCATCGCTCGAGAGCTGCTATAACTTCATCGATTTTCCTTCATCTAGCAGATTCCTTTTGTTCTTCCCGAGAGAGGGGGAGAATTTTTGTGGAATTCAACACCGGGACGCTTGTCTCCTCGGGGCTTGTAATGTAAAGATGAGCTCGCACTTTCACAGAAATGGGGCTTGTAAGTTAAGGTTTTTGATTGCACATGGCCCATCTGGAATCCAGCTTTTGGTTCTTGTGAGGAAAATCACTGTGATCACTGCGAAGAAACTATTTTCTAAGGTTTGTAACTCACGTAGTTTTGTTTGTTCTTGGCGATCATAGAAAAATAGCCATAGCTCTTTCTAATGCTACAAATATCTTACCTCCATCCGGTAAAAAAATTCTTAGAATTTGAGGATCACACATGAATCAAAGATAGCAGTAGTACGTACGTGCCAAAATTATGAGAAAATTACCTGACAGTTACTGCCAAAACTTTACCCCGCGCCGTCGAGTCGTCGTTGAGCGGAAATTATTCTATTCTCGAAAATAACGGAATATTCGTCCGGCAGGCAAAGAGTGATGCCGTTTGCACGGCCGAGATTCGCTGCTCGTTTTGGTGCCCAGTCCGCCATAGCCAACGAAGAAAGAAGGCGAGCCAGGGTAGCCTTCTTGCTAGGGTTTCGCATTCTCTCCTACCCCAGCTGGTTTCTCTGCGCGGCTGTGCGCATTCTTCCCTCCCGTGCTGCTGGATTTCGACCATGGCGTAATCGCGTACCAGGTTTGCAAGGCATTGTGATCTTCTCCCCAGGATCCAGCTGATCCGTGGGCTAGATCTCCCGAAAGCCCTGGTTCTTGCGGGGTAGTATGAGATGAGCAAGACGATGGGGCAGGAGATTAACCAGTACGCCCACAGCCCCGTCCACTGGGCCGTTGCCAGGGGCGATTACGCGGCGCTCAAGCGGATTCTCAGTGGCCTTCCCCGCCTCGCCAAGCCTGGCGAGGTTCGCACGGAGATCGAGTCGATCCAGGCGGAGGTCAAGGCCGATGCCATCGCGGCGGTGATAGATCGCCGAGATGTGCCCAACCGGGAGACGCCACTGCATTTGGCGGTCAAGATGGGCGACGAGACGTCGGTGGAGATGCTCATGCAAGCCGGGGCGGATTGGAGCCTCCAGAACGCGCAGGGATGGAGCGCCCTCCAGGAGGCGGTGTGCGCGCGAGAGGAAGGCATAGCCATGATCATCACGAGGTACTATCAGCCCATGGCTTGGGCGAAGTGGCTCCGGCGGCTGCCGAGAGTGGTGGGAACAATGCGGCGGATGAGAGACTTCTACATGGAGCTCACGTTTCACTTCGAGAGCTCGGTCATTCCTTTCATCTCCAGGATTGCTCCCAGCGACACTTACAGGATATGGAAGAAGGGTGCCAATCTCAGGGCGGACATGACACTCGCGGGCTTCGATGGTTTCAGGATCCAGAGGTCGGACCAGAGCTTTCTCTTTTTGGGCGATGGAAGCGACGACGGCAAGCTCCCTTCCGGGACCCTCTGTGTTCTCAGCCACAAAGAGAAGGAGATCATGAACGCTTTGGACGGTGCCGGAGTCCAGCCCACGGAGTCCGAGATCGCGCAAGAGGTGGCGGTTTTGTCACAAACCAATATCTACAGGCCGGGGATCGATGTCACACAGGCCGAGCTCCAGCCGCATTTGACGTGGAGGAGGCAAGAGAAAACCGAGATGGTGGGCTCGTGGAAGGCGAAGATATACGACATGCATCATGTGACTGTCAGTGTCCGGTCGCGAAGGGTTCCAGGAGCCATGACAGACGAGGAGCTGTTCGCTTCAGAAGAGGCCGAGGGAGAGGACGACGAAGACTACACCGATCTTCTAACCGAGGAGGAGAAGCAGCAACTGGACTCGGCGCTCAAGGCCGAGAATGGCGAGTTTATCGAGAAGGGATTTGACAAGGGTGGCAAGGACAACAGCAAGCTTCGCAGGCGCTTGGAGAACGGGGGGGATGATATTATATTGGACGGATTGCTCGACGATGATATGAGCGTAGGGGGTGCTTCGTCTGGCTCGGATATCCACAGGGAGGACAGGAAGAGCTGGTTTAGCTGGGGGAAGAAGAGCGTCAAGCATGAAAACGCAAAGAAGGTGGAGCCGGCAAGGAAGTCTCTCAGCGTAGAAGTAGAGCGGGGTGGCAGGAATAACAGCAGAAAGTCTTTCGACAGGCGACCATCGAATTATAGAGCGGAGGACACATTCGAGCTCAAGAAAGGATACATGGACAAGCCTGCCAGGAAGAGCGTAAGCAGGGAGTCGATTCACAAGCCTGGAAAGGCTGGCGCCGAAAACGAGTACCAGAAGGGATTGAGGCCGGTGCTGTGGCTCACACCGGATTTTCCTCTGAGCACTGAGGAGTTTGTGCCGCTACTGGACATTCTGTCCAACAAAGTGAAAGCGATCCGGAGGCTACGGGAGCTCTTGACAACCAAGCTACCGACTGGAACGTTTCCAGTCAAGGTAAGTTTATTTTCTTTTCTCGTTTCTCCAGTTCTTCGGTGACCAAAGTTTGTTTGTTTTTTCCTTCGTCTCAGCTGGCCATACCAGTAGTGCCCACCATCAGAGTCGTCGTGACTTTCACTCGCTTTGACGAGATCCGCGCGCCGTCGGAGGAGTTTTCCACGCCACTCTCGAGTCCTCGCCACTTCCAAGACGCCAAAGCCAAGGAGGGCGATGCTCCGCAAGCACAGGCATCATCGGCGAGTTCATGGTTTTCGTGGATGCGACCTCACAGCCAGGCAAGCTCGTCGGCGGTGTCGGACGATCACGGGCCCGACTTGGTGGATCCGTTTCTCATCCCCAGTGACTACACCTGGGTGGACGTAAACGAGAAGAAGCGGCGAGCCAAGGACAAGAAATCGAAGAGCAAGAAGAATAAGAAGCCTCCTCCAGCGCAGGGAGAGACAACGAAGGGCTAGTCTGCTTGCTAGCTCTCACAAGTTACAACAAACAAAGGCTTTTGGATTTATTTTTTGTAGGCGATTTACCACACGAAATGAAATTCTTGTGTTCTTTCTTCACTTGTTGTATAGGGTGGAACCATACGAATTAGCAGCGATGATGATCAGGAGCGTGATATAAGTGCCCCTCAGAGGAATTTTCATCAGCTTTTTCACGTAGGAACCAACGAGGATTAGAATGCCGACGAGAAAACACGTACCCATGGTCGACCACGATGCCTTCGCGTCGTTAAAGTCGTAGACAACATAGAGGAGGCTGAAAAAGAGTGGTGTCATCATCACGGACAAGCTCACAAAGAAGATCATCCACATAGAGAGCATGAGCTTTTTGGCCTCTAGAGCTTTTCCCTGACCGTTATCAAGAAATGCTATTAGACACCATGCCAATCCAAATGCCGAGATGGTTGAAGCGAGAAGGAAGTGGAAGCAACGCCCCTTTTCCACTGGTGTGGCATTCTCTTTGATGAGGGAGATCCCTGACTGGAGGCATGTAGAAGCCACAAAAGTGAAAGGCGTAATCAGCAATTTGGCAAACTTCAATGCTTCTTTGTTGGGGGCAGCATTAGCTTCTGCAATCTTTCCCGCTTCTTCCATTAAACTCAAAGTCCTTCCCCTGCAAGCTGCCGATTTTGTTGAGCGGGATGATGAGAGTGCTAATCTGGATCACATGGCCTTGATCGACCAGCAAAACACACTATATATTCTTTAGATTCCGTGGAATGCCTTGAATCGGTATTTGCCGCACGATAAGCGACTTGCCACAAATAATCATATGTATACGTTTCTTTGTTTTGTTCTTACAAGTCAAACTGATTCTGGCATTTTGCTACATGAATAGCATTAAGCGAAACAAATCTCCAAGTGTCACTTGATTTTACATGGGAATCCAATAACCTACAAACAGTTTCTTTGTGTCTTGTTTACATAATCTTGCAAATCAAGTTCCTGGTAAACAGCTCGCTGGTGTTGTTCACGATCCAGGGGTGACCAAGAACTTGCTCCACCGTCAGCCTCCGGCTCGGATAAACCTCCAACATCCCCATGATCAAATCCTTTGCCTCGCTCAACACATCACTCCAATCCAATGCAAACTCCACATTGTCCACGCTTTTCAGCAATAACTCCACATAATCAGAGTGGTATTCAGGGAACGCCACCCTTCCGCTAACGAGCTCATATAGAATGAGTCCGAGCCCCCAAACGTCCACCGCTTGAGTGTAGTATTTCGGCCATCCGCCCTCACCAGCCCTGAGAACATCTGGCGACATATACCCAGGGGTGCCACAAAGGTGGTGCATCTCGTCTGCCCGGTCAGTCGCAACCCCAAAGTCAGACAGCTTCACCTCGTAAGGTTGCGCTGGATGCGTCAGCAAAACGTTTTCCAGCTTCATATCCCTGTGCACCACCCCAAGGTTGTGCATCTCCCTCAGCGTCTCGGCCAGGCTCTTGGTCACAAACGCCGCCTCGTCATCCGCCAGCCTCCCCACCATCTTGAGCCTGTCCCGGAGAGTGCACGAGCAGAGCTCCAAGATTAGGGATCCCCACCAGCGGCCCTTGCGCTCCTCCTCGACCATGTCGTAGATCTCTAGTGTACCATGGCAGCCATTGAGTTTGAGCATGATTTCCTTCTCTCTCTCACCCGATCTCTCGAAGCTCTTAGCCGCTAGCAACTTACCACCCATTCTAAAGCTTACAAGGTGTACAGTGCCTTGCCCTCCCTTTCCAAGCTCAAAACCCACATCATACATCTTTCTCAAGGACGAGAGCTCCTCGCTCACCACCAACTCACCACTCTCGACCGCTCTCCACACAGTCATGGCGATTAAACAACGAGTGTTAGCGTGACCTAAAGGGAGCTGCCTTTAAGTCTTGATCAAACCAGATTGAATTATGATCAAGACTTGCAGACCTTTGCGGTGAATTCCACGACATAGAGATTGTTTCCTTTGCTTGTTTCTTTCGCTGTGCCCGTGGCTCCTTCAAATCTTCTGGTGCCACCAACGATGGCGAAGAGAGCTTGAGATCCAGCGGTCGAGCTCCCGGCCTCGCCTTGAAACTCGAGGCTGCTACCATCAGCAAAGGAGCAATGCGAGGACTGGAAGCTCCCAGGCCGGTGTTTGCAAGGATTCCCATGTATGTCCCATGGATAACCTGGTATAGCCCTTGGTGGAGACCGAGAATGGGGCTGCGAATGTCTGCATTGATCCGGTCTACCAGCGTTGTCTTTGGGAAGAACGTAGAACTCGGTTTGGTTGATCCCCGTGTCCGTAAATAGGGACTGGCCTTGGAAGGTGTAGGTCTTTCACTGTTTCACAACTTCACAAGATTCAAAGCATCGATAAGAAAATGGAATCTATACCTTGGAGGACGATGCTGATGTCGCTAATGCCAATGATCAAGAAGATCCCAATTCTAGAGGAGGCCATTGGCCCCATTGTGTAGAATGCTCTAGCCTAGAGCTCTCCATATCTTAGATAAATAGATAGATACCAGAGTACACGTGAAATACGTGAGCGTCGATCCATTAACACTGGGCCGAGGCTGAAGAAGGACGAGATTGTGAAACAAAACTTGGCAGGAAGAGCTCGTGCATGTCGCCGTTGGTTTCTCGACACAACAGTCAAGGATAATTTGTTCAATCTCTCAAGTATAGAACTGTGCATTTCATATTAGTCCCAGCTGCACCATACAGGGCATAGACTACAAAAATTTGAATTCCCATATAATCTATAACAAGGAAAAAAAAGGAATGAGATCCTATACTAGTTATCTACCTTTAAACCTCGCAGCTGGATCACACTTTAGTCTCCTACAAAATCCAAGAACCAGGTTCTGCTTCACTTTTTTCACGTTTAAGTTCATGGCAGAAGGGGCAACAATTGCTAATTTTAATGAGGCTAACGGGAAAGAATCATCGAAGCTGGCCCACGAGCAGCTACTAAAACCTTTAAAACCCCTCATCAAAATCTTCCAAGATTCATGCCACTATTTTTTCATGTATCTAAGAAATGGATGAGCATTAGCGACATCATCATCCTCCATTTTCTTATCTATGCGATCAATGAAGACATTGGCAGCCCCCTCTTAAGCTCTTTTCGCCATTGTCAGAGGCACCATAAGGTTTGAAGGAGCCACAGCACTGCGAGAGAAACGAGCAAAAAAACAAAACCAATCTCTGTAACAAAGAAATTGTAAATGATAAGTAAAATGACAGGAGTGCCTTTCAGAGGAATCCTCATCCTTTGGAACAGCTTTTTCACGTAGGAACCAGTGAAGACTACAACGACCAAAACTAAATACGCACCCATTATTGACCACGATGCCTTGGTTCCGATGAAATCGTAGACCACATACAGAAGGCTGAAGAGGAGCGGCAACATCATCGTAGACAAGCTTGAAAAGAAGATCATCCAAATAGCTTTTTCACCTCAGAAGCGTTTCCTTGTTCGTTCTCACCGATCGCTATTAGACACCTTGCCAATCCAAATGCTGAGATGGTTGAAGCAAGAAGGAAGTGGAAGCAACGCCCCTTTTCCACTGGTGTGGCATTCTCTTTGATGAGGGAGATTCCTGACTGGAGGCATGTAGAAGCCACAAAAGTGAAAGGCGTAATCAGCAATTTGGCAAACTTCAATGCTTCTTTGTTGGGGGCAGCATTAGCTTCTGCAATCTTTCCCACTTCTTCCATTAAACTCAAAGTCCTTTCCCTGCAAGCTGCTGATTTTGTTGAGCGGGATGATGGGAGTGCTAAGATGGATCACATGGCCTTGATCGACCAGCAAAACACACTATATATTCTTTAGATTCCGTGGAATGCCTTGAATCGGTATTTGCCGCACGATAAGCGACTTGCCACAAATAATCATATGTATACGTTTCTTTGTTTTGTTCTTACAAGTCAAACTGAATCTGGCATTTTGCTACATGAATAGCAACGTGAAACAAATCTCTGCAAAATGGCAAGTGTCACTTGATTTTACATGGGGATCCGATAACCTACAAACTGTTTCTTTGTGTCTTGTTCTTACATAATCTTGCAAATCAAGTTCCTGGTAAACAGCTCGCTGGTGTTGTTCACGATCCAGGGGTGACCAAGCACTTGCTCCACCGTCAGCCTCCGGCTCGGATAAACCTCCAACATCCCCATGATCAAATCCTTTGCCTCGCTCGACACATCACTCCAATCCAGTGCAAACTCCACATTGTCCACGCTTTTCAGCAATAACTCCACATAATCAGAGTGGTATTCAGGGAACGCCACCCTTCCGCTAACGAGCTCATATAGAATGAGTCCGAGCCCCCAAACGTCCACCGCTTGAGTGTAGTATTTCGGCCATCCGCCCTCACCAGCCCTGAGAACATCTGGCGACATATACCCAGGGGTGCCACAAAGGTGGTGCATCTCGTCTGCCCGGTCAGTCGCAACCCCAAAGTCAGACAGCTTCACCTCGTAAGGTTGCGCTGGATGCGTCAGCAAAACGTTTTCCAGCTTCATATCCCTGTGCACCACCCCAAGGTTGTGCATCTCCCTCAGCGTCTCGGCCAGGCTCTTGGTCACAAACGCCGCCTCGTCATCCGCCAGCCTCCCCACCATCTTGAGCCTGTCCCGGAGAGTGCACGAGCAGAGCTCCAAGATTAGGGATCCCCACCAGCGGCCCTTGCGCTCCTCCTCGACCATGTCGTAGATCTCTAGTGTACCATGGCAGCCATTGAGTTTGAGCATGATTTCCTTCTCTCTCTCACCCGACCTCTCGAAGCTCTTAGCCGCTAGCAACTTACCACCCATTCTAAAGCTTACAAGGTGTACAGTACCTTGCCCTCCCTTTCCAAGCTCAAAACCCACATCGTACATCTTCCTCAACGACGACAGCTCCTCGCTCACAACCAACTCACCAGTCTCGACCGCTCTCCACACAGTCATGGCGAGATTAAACAACGATTATTAGCGTGACCTAAAGGGAACTGCCTTTAAGTCTTGATCAAACCAGATTGAGTTATGATCAAGACTTGCAGACCTTTGCGGTGAATTCCACGACATAGAGATTGTTTCCTTTGCTCGTTTCTTTCGCTGTGCCCGTGGCTCCTTCAAATCTTCCGGTGCCACCAACGATGGCGAAAAGAGCTTGAGATCCAGCGGTCGAGCTCCCGGCCTCGTCTTGAAACTCGAGGCTGCTACCATCAGCAAAGGAGCAATGCGAGGACTGGAAGCTCCCCAGGCCGGTGTTTGCGAGGATTCCCATGTATGTGTCCATGCATAACCTGGTATAGCCCTTGGTGGAGACCAAGAATGGGGCTGCGAATGTCTGCATTGATCCGGGTCTACCAGCGTTGTCTTTGGGAAGAACGTAGAACTCGTTTTGGTTGATCCCCGTGTCCGTAAACAGGGACTGGCCTTGGAAGGTGTAGGTCTTGCACTGTTTCACAAGATCCAGATGGTAGAAATTCTTAAGATCTTGACTAGCAATGCAAAGCATGGATAAGAAAATGGAGTCTATACCTTGATGGACGATGCTGATGTCGCTAATGCCAGGATGATTAAGAAGATCCCAATTCCAGAGGAGGCCATTTGGCCTATTATGTAGAATTCTCTAGCCTAGAGCTCTCCATATCTTAGATAAATAGAAAGATACCAGAGTACACGTGAAATACGTGAGCGTCGATCCATTAACACTGGGCCGAGGCTGAAGAAGGACGAGATTGTGAAACAAAACTTGGCAGGAAGAGCTCGTGCATGTCGCCGTTGGTTTCTCGACACAACAGTTGAGGATAATTTGTTCGATCTCTCAAGTATAGAACTGTGCATTTCATATTAGTCCCAGCTGCACCACACAGGGCATATCAAAATGTGTGGACTACAAAAATTTGAATTCCCATATAATCTCAAAAAGAAATAACAAGGAAAAAGTCTCTTCGGAGACACCAGATAAAATTGGAACGATAACAAGGAAAAAAAAAAGGAATGAGATCCTATACTAGTTATCTACCTTTAAACCTCGCATCTGGATCGTACTTTAGTCTCCTACAAACATCCAAGAACCATGGTTCTGCTTCAATTTTTTCACGTTTAAGTTCATGGCAGAAGGGGCAACGATTGCTAATTCTAATGAGGCTAACGGGAAAGAATCATTGAAGCTGGCCAAATTGCTGATTACACCTTTCACTTTTGTGGCTTCCACATGACTCCAGTCGGGAATCTCCCTTATCAGAGAGAATGCAACGCCCGCAGAGAAGGGGCGTTGCTTCCACCTCTTTATGGCTCCAACCATCTCCGTATTTGGATTGGCAGGGTGTATGATAGCAATTGTTGATAACAAGGAAAGAAAAGCTCAGGAGCTCGACAATCTCATGTCCTTTCTTTAGGTGATCTTCTTTGCAAGCTTGTCTATGATGATGTTGCTGCTCCTCTTCAGCCTCCTGTATGTTGTCTACGACATCAGCGAAACGAAGGCATCGTGGTCAATAATGGGTGCGTATTTAGTTTTGGTCGTTGTAGTCTTTACTGGTTCCCACGTGAAAAAGCTATTCCAAAGGATGAGGATTCCTCTGAGAGGCACTCCTGTCATTTTACTTATCATCTTTGCTGCTAATACATATGGATAGATTTACAATTTCCTTTGTTACAGAGATTGTTTTTGTTTGTTTGCTCGTTTCTCTCGCAGTGCTGTGGCTCCTTCAAACCTTATGGTGCCTCCGACAATGGCGAAAAGAGCTTAAGAGGGGGCTGCCAATGTCTTCATTGACCGCATGGATAAGAAAATGGAGGACGATGATGTCGCTAATGCTCATCCATTTCTTAGATACATAGAAAAATAGTGGCATGAATCTTGGGAGATTTTGATGAGGGGGTTTAAAGGTTTTAGTAGCTGCTCGTGGGCAATGCAGCAACACCACGAGTGGGCGGGGCTCCGGTCGTGGAGGTCCCCGGCGGCGCCACCCAATGAGCGGCGCCGCTGGGGGGATGCCGGCCCTGAGATGGTGGCGACTCCCTTAGATCACGCTGGTTCTTTCTCTCCTCCCCCTCGCAGCCTCGCGGAACGGGGCGCCTTGATCCTCGCCACCCCTCGTCCACTCTCCAAAGCCCACTTGACGCACCACGCTTACAAGCTTTGGTGCAGTGGTGCTCTTCCGATTGGTGTAGCGGCCGCCATGGATTCTCCCGCAAGGCCAGAGCAGCCTCAGCTGGTAAGATTCTCCAAAGTTCTGGGGATATCTCCCAGCGTTCATATGATCCATAACTTGGCACACATCGAGCTCAACGCCGTGGATCTTGCATGGGACACTGTGGTGCGCTTCTCGGCGTCGGGTGGCGAGCTCGATTCGCAGTTTTTCGCGGATTTTGCTCACGTTGCGGACGACGAGAGCCGGCATTTCTGCTGGTGCGAGCAGCGATTGAAGGAGCTTGGTTCCAGGTATTTAGAAACTTGTAGTTTTCTCTTCATTTTTCGTTTCTTTACCATAGTTACGGAGATGTTCCGGCGCACAATTTGCTCTGGAAGGATTGCCAGAAAACTTCTGGAAGCGTGGATGCTCGTCTCGCAGTTATGCCAATGGTCCAGGTGCCTATACGCTTCCACTTGAAGAGCTAAGAACTATTCTACCAAGCAACGAAAGTAGAAATAGAAGGAATGGCAAAACGGGGATCAACCAAAACGAGTTCTACGTTCTTCCCAAAGACAACACTGGTAGACCCGGATCAATGCAGACATTCGCAGCCCCATTCTTGCCAATCTCAGGGCGGACATGACACTCGCGGGCTTCGATGGTTTCAGGATCCAGAGGTCGGACCAGAGCTTTCTCTTTTTGGGCGATGGAAGCGACGACGGCAAGCTCCCTTCCGGGACCCTCTGTGTTCTCAGCCACAAAGAGAAGGAGATCATGAACGCTTTGGACGGTGCCGGAGTCCAGCCCACGGAGTCCGAGATCGCGCAAGAGGTGGCGGTTTTGTCACAAACCAATATCTACAGGCCGGGGATCGATGTCACACAGGCCGAGCTCCAGCCGCATTTGACGTGGAGGAGGCAAGAGAAAACCGAGATGGTGGGCTCGTGGAAGGCGAAGATATACGACATGCATCATGTGACTGTCAGTGTCCGGTCGCGAAGGGTTCCAGGAGCCATGACAGACGAGGAGCTGTTCGCTTCAGAAGAGGCCGAGGGAGAGGACGACGAAGACTACACCGATCTTCTAACCGAGGAGGAGAAGCAGCAACTGGACTCGGCGCTCAAGGCCGAGAATGGCGAGTTTATCGAGAAGGGATTTGACAAGGGTGGCAAGGACAACAGCAAGCTTCGCAGGCGCTTGGAGAACGGGGGGGATGATATTATATTGGACGGATTGCTCGACGATGATATGAGCGTAGGGGGTGCTTCGTCTGGCTCGGATATCCACAGGGAGGACAGGAAAAGCTGGTTTAGCTGGGGGAAGAAGAGCGTCAAGCATGAAAACGCAAAGAAGGTGGAGCCGGCAAGGAAGTCTCTCAGCGTAGAAGTAGAGCGGGGTGGCAGGAATAACAGCAGAAAGTCTTTCGACAGGCGACCATCGAATTATAGAGCGGAGGACACATTCGAGCTCAAGAAAGGATACATGGACAAGCCTGCCAGGAAGAGCGTAAGCAGGGAGTCGATTCACAAGCCTGGAAAGGCTGGCGCCGAAAACGAGTACCAGAAGGGATTGAGGCCGGTGCTCTGGCTCACGCCGGATTTTCCTCTGAGCACTGAGGAGTTTGTGCCGCTGCTGGACATCCTGTCCAACAAAGTGAAAGCGATCCGGAGGCTACGTGAGCTCTTGACAACCAAGCTACCGACTGGAACGTTTCCAGTCAAGGTAAGTTTATTTTCTTTTCTCGTTTCTCCAGTTCTTCGGTGACCAAAGTTTGTTTCTTTTTTCCTTCGTCTCAGCTGGCCATACCAGTAGTCCCTACCATCAGAGTCGTCGTGACTTTCACTCGCTTTGACGAGATCCGCGCGCCGTCGGAGGAGTTTTCCACGCCACTCTCGAGTCCTCGCCACTTCCAAGACGCAAAAGCCAAGGAGGGGGATGCTCCGCAAGCACAGGCATCATCGGCGAGTTCATGGTTTTCGTGGATGCGACCTCACAGCCAGGCAAGCTCGTCGGCGGTGTCGGACGATCACGGGCCCGACTTGGTGGATCCGTTTCTCATCCCCAGTGACTACACCTGGGTGGACGTGAACGAGAAGAAGCGGCGAGCCAAGGACAAGAAATCGAAGAGCAAGAAGAATAAGAAGCCTCCTCCAGCGCAGGGAGAGACAACGAAGGGCTAGTCTGCTTGCTAGCTCTCACAAGTTACAACAAACAAAGGCTTTTGGATTTTTTTTTTGTAGGCGATTTACCACACGAAATGAAATTCTTGTGTTCTTTCTTCACTTCTTGTATAGGGTGTAACCATACAAATTAGCAGCGAGGATGATCAGGAGCGTGATATAATTGCCCCTCACAGGAATTCTCATCAGCTTTTTCACGTAGGAACCAACGAGGATTAGAATGCCGACGAGAAAACACGCACCCATGGTCGACCACGATGCCTTCGCGTCGCTAAAGTCGTAGACAACATAGAGGAGGCTGAAAAGGAGTGGTGTCATCATCACGGACAAGCTCGCAAAGAAGATCATCCACATAGAGAGCATGAGCTTTTTGGCCTCTAGAGCTTTTCCCTGACCGTTATCAAGAAATGCTATTAGACACCATGCCAATCCAAATGCCGAGATGGTTGAAGCGAGAAGGAAGTGGAAGCAACGCCCCTTTTCCACTGGTGTGGCATTCTCTTTGATGAGGGAGATCCCTGACTGGAGGCATGTAGAAGCCACAAAAGTGAAAGGCGTAATCAGCAATTTGGCAAACTTCAATGCTTCTTTGTGGGGGCAGCATTAGCTTCTCCAATCTTTCCCACTTCTTCCATTAAACTCAAAGTCCTTCCCCTGCAAGCTGCCGATTTTGTTGAGCGGGATGATGAGAGTGCTAATCTGGATCACATGGCCTTGATCGACCAGCAAAACACACTATATATTCTTTAGATTCCGTGGAATGCCTTGAATCGGTATTTGCCGCACGATAAGCGACTTGCCACGACTTGCCACAAATAATCATATGTATACGTTTCTTTGTTTTGTTCTTACAAGTCAAACTGATTCTGGCATTTTGCTACATGAATAGCAACCGGAAACAAATCTCTGCAAAATGGCAAGTGTCACTTGATTTTACATGGGGATCCGATAACCTACAAACAGTTTCTTTGTGTCTTGTTCTTACATAATCTTGCAAATCAAGTTCCTGGTAAACAGCTCGCTGGTGTTGTTCACGATCCAGGGGTGACCAAGCACTTGCTCCACCGTCAGCCTCCGGCTCGGATAAACCTCCAACATCCCCATGATCAAATCCTTTGCCTCGCTCGACAGATCACTCCAATCCAATGCAAACTCCACATTGTCCACGCTTTTCAGCAATAACTCCACATAATCAGAGTGGTATTCAGGGAACGCCACCCTTCCGCTAACGAGCTCATATAGAATGAGTCCGAGCCCCCAAACGTCCACCGCTTGAGTGTAGTATTTCGGCCATCCGCCCTCACCAGCCCTGAGAACATCTGGCGACATATACCCAGGGGTGCCACAAAGGTGGTGCATCTCGTCTGCCCGGTCAGTCGCAACCCCAAAGTCAGACAGCTTCACCTCGTAAGGTTGTGCTGGATGCGTCAGCAAAACGTTTTCCAGCTTCATATCCCTGTGCACCACCCCAAGGTTGTGCATCTCCCTCAGCGTCTCGGCCAGGCTCTTGGTCACAAACGCCGCCTCGTCATCCGCCAGCCTCCCCACCATCTTGAGCCTGTCCCGGAGAGTGCACGAGCAGAGCTCCAAGATTAGGGATCCCCACCAGCGGCCCTTGCGCTCCTCCTCGACCATGTCGTAGATCTCTAGTGTACCATGGCAGCCATTGAGTTTGAGCATGATTTCCTTCTCTCTCTCACCCGACCTCTCGAAGCTCTTAGCCGCTAGCAACTTACCACCCATTCTAAAGCTTACAAGGTGTACAGTGCCTTGCCCTCCCTTTCCAAGCTCAAAACCCACATCGTACATCTTCCTCAACGACGACAGCTCTTCGCTCACAACCAACTCACCAGTCTCGACCGCTCTCCACACAGTCATGGCGAGATTAAACAACGATTATTAGCGTGACCTAAAGGGAACTGCCTTTAAGTCTTGATCAAACCAGATTGAGTTATGATCAAGACTTGCAGACCTTTGCGGTGAATTCCACGACATAGAGATTGTTTCCTTTGCTTGTTTCTTTCGCTGTGCCCGTGGCTCCTTCAAGTCTTCTGGTGCCACCAACGATGGCGAAGAGAGCTTGAGATCCAGCGGTCGAGCTCCCGGCCTCGCCTTGAAACTCGAGGCTGCTACCATCAGCAAAGGAGCAATGCGAGGACTGGAAGCTCCCCAGGCCGGTGTTTGCAAGGATTCCCATGTATGTCCCCATGGATAACCTGGTATAGCCCTTGGTGGAGACCGAGAATGGGGCTGCGAATGTCTGCATTGATCCGGGTCTACCAGCGTTGTCTTTGGGAAGAACGTAGAACTCGGTTTCGTTGATCCCCGTGTCCGTAAAATAGGGACTGGCCTTGGAAGGTGTAGGTCTTGCACTGTTTCACAACTTCACAAGATTCAGATGGTAGAAATCCTTAAGATCTGCAAAGCATCGATAAGAAAATGGAATTTATACCTTGGAGGACGATGCTGATGTCGCTAATGCCAGGATGATCAAAAAGATCCCAATTCCAGAGGAGGCCATTTGCCCCATTGTGTAGAATGCTCTAGCCTAGAGCTCTCCATATCTTAGATAAATAGATAGATACCAGAGTACACGTGAAATACGTGAGCGTCGATCCATTAACACTGGGCCGAGGCTGAAGAAGGACGAGATTGTGAAACAAAACTTGGCAGGAAGAGCTCGTGCATGTCGCCGTTGGTTTCTCGACACAACAGTCAAGGATAATTTGTTCAATCTCTCAAGTATAGAACTGTGCATTTTATATTAGTCCCAGCTGCACCATACAGGGCATATCAAAATGTGTGGACTACAAAAATTTGAATTCCCATATAATCTCAAAAAGACATAACAAGGAAAAAAAAGGAATGAGATCCTATACTAGTTATCTACCTTTAAACCTCGCAGCTGGATCACACTTTAGTCTCCTACAAAATCCAAGAACCAGGTTCTGCTTCACTTTTTTCACGTTTAAGTTCATGGCAGAAGGGGCAACAATTGCTAATTCTAATGAGGCTAACGGGACGAAGCTGGCCCACGAGCATTTAAAACCCCCTCATCAAAATCTTCCAAGATTCATACCACTATTTTTCCATGTATCTAAGAAATGGATGAGCATTAGCGACATCATCATCCTCCATTTTCTTATCTATGCGATCAATGAAGACATTGGCAGCCCCTCTTAAGCTCTTTTGTCAGAGGCACCATAAGGTTTGAAGGAGCCACAGCACTGCGAGAGAAACGAGCAAAAAAACAAAAACAATCTCTGTAACAAAGAAATTGTAAATCTATTACGTTAAAAATTAAGTCTTTTATTTAAAGTGTACCTATACGTGTTAGCAGCAAAGATGATAAGTAAAATGACAGGAGTGCCTTTCAGAGGAATCCTCATCCTTTGGAACAGCTTTTTCACGTAGGAACCAGTGAAGACTACAACGACCAAAGCTAAATATGCACTCAATATTGACCACGATGCCTTGGTTCCGATGAAATCGTATACCACATACAGGAGGCTGAAGAGGAGCGGCAACATCATCGTAGACAAGCTTGAAAAGAAGATCACCCAAAGAGAAGACATGAGATTGTCGAGCTCCTGAGCTTTTCTTTCCTTGTTATCAACAATTGCTATCATACACCCAAATATGGAGATAGTTGCAGCCATAAAGAGGTGGAAGCAACGCCCCTTATCCGCGGGTGTTGCATTCTCTCTGATCTTCTGTGCCACGTGGCAGGCGGCCCCCTCCCAGGCTGAGGCTCAGCCTGCGCCTTCTCCACGTGCTTTGGGCCCGGGAGAGTCCTCCCCGATGAGGGAGATTCCCAACTGGAGACATGTGGAAGCCACAAAAGTGAAAGGTGTAATCAGCAATTTGGCCAATCGCGCCACTATTAACAATGCCACTAGAAGAAAATTTTACACCAACTTTCATAAGGTAATGCGACTACCCACTGCATGTTCAGCCATTTAAAGCATATTTCCGGGACAAACAACAAACTCCGAGAGGGAAAGACGAGAGAGAGACACTCAAGGTCTCATTTTTAGTCTTGATTCTTTTGATTTCCTCTCGAACAAACGCAGCAAGCAGGGAAGAGATCTCATGGGTCTACAGGGAGAAGTAAGATTGAGCGGTCTCAAAGTGAAAGTCCACAAGATCTCGACGGTGGTTCCAGCCGGAGAGACCGAGCAATGCACGCTCTTCATGTCCAACATCGACCAGGTACTGGCTTACTATGTCGAGACACCTACCATTTCTTGGCTGGGAGATTCAAGCTCAATCCCAAGCTGGGGAGGATGGAGCTGGAATGCAACCTCGAAGGGATCTCTTATCTGGGCGATACCAGTGTTCCAAATCAGCTCTTCCGCAATCTCGTTCTCCTTCCGTACGAAGGCAAGGCTCTCAACGATGCTCCTCTCATCATAATCCAGGTTCGTTCCTTGTTTTTCTAGCGTTTGTTCTTCGTTCTTCCTTGGAGAGAGCTTGGTTTCTTTGGGTGTTGGAATGCATGAGGATCGTATGGTTGCTCCGCTGCCAAAGGGATTCTCTGAGACCATCGCCGACGAGTACGTACGGTCGTCTGCGCTCCACCGTGGGAATTCATCTCTCCGTGGTGGAAGATCCGCTTCCAGGAGCTGCCGCTCTACGCGGGGCCCGTGGTAAACGACCGGGTAGAATTTGTTTTACTATAATGGTAAACAGGAGCCGGCAGAGACCTCCAAGTTTGGCTGTTGGATTGTTTTCCCTAGGAAAATAGGAAAATGGTTTTTTATCGGACGGTGGACGGCGTCCGATGTGAAGCCCATCCCGACCGTTGGATTCGTCGCTTAAACCTCTTTTCCTTTAAGCTTTTGGCTATGGTCGCTGTGAGCCGATCTCCGTGGAGCTCAAGCGGCACCCGCATTGCCGTCGTGGGCTTTCCTCTGCGTCGTTTCTTCGTCGACGATTGCCATTGTCGGAGGCACCGTAAGGTTTGAACCACAGCACTGCGACAGAAACGAGCAAACACAAAAAAAAAAAGCTCTATAAAGTTCGAAAACTCACTATAACACAAAGAAACTGTAAATTTATCAAAGTCATTTTTTATATAAAGTGTACCCATACGTATTAGCAGCAAAGATGATAAGTAAAATGACAAGAGTGCCTCTCAGAGGAATCCTCATCCTTTGGAACAGCTTTTTCACATAGGAACCAGTGAAGACTACAACGACCAAAACTAAATATGCACCCATTATTGACCACGATGCCTTTGTTCTGCTGAAGCCGTAGACAACATACAGGAGGCTGAAGACGAGTGGTAGCATCATTGTAGACAAGCTCGCAAAGAAGATCACCCAAAGAGAGGACATGAGATTGTCGAGCTCCTGAGCTTTTCTTTCCTTGTTATCAACAATTGCTATCATACACCCTGCTAATCCAAATACGGAGATGGTTGGAGCCATAAAGAGGTGGAAGCAACGCCCCTTCTCCACGGGCGTTGCATTCTCTTTGATGAGGGAGATTCCTGACTGGAGGCATGTAGAAGCCACAAAAGTGAAAGGTGTAATCCGCAATTTGGCAAACTTCAATGCTTCTTTGTTGGGGACAGCATTAGCTTCTGCAATCTTTCCCGCTTCTTCCATTAAACTCAAAGTCCTTTCCCTGCAAGCTGCTGATTTTGTTGAGCGGGATGATGAGAGTGCTAAGATGGATCACATGGCCTTGATCGACCAGCAAAACACACTATATATTCTTTAGATTCCGTGGAATGCCTTGAATCGGTATTTGCCGCACGATAAGCGACTTGCCACAATAAATAATAACATGTATACTTTTCTATAAATAATAACATGTATACTTTTCTTTGTTTTGTTCTTACAAGTCAAACTGATTCTGGCATTTTGCTACATGAGCAGCAACGAGAAACAAATCTCTGCAACATGGCAAGTGTCACTTGATTTTACATGGGGATCCGATAACCTACAAACAGCTTCTTTGTGTCTTGTTCTTACATAATCTTGCAAATCAAGTTCCTGGTAAACAGCTCGCTGGTGTTGTTCACGATCCAGGGGTGACCAAGAACTTGCTCCACCGTCAGCCTCCGGCTCGGATAAACCTCCAACATCCCCATGATCAAATCCTTTGCCTCGCTCGACACATCACTCCAATCCAGTGCAAACTCCACATTGTCCACGCTTTTCAGCAATGACTCCACATAATCAGAGTGGTACTCAGGGAACGCCACCCTTCCGCTAACGAGCTCATATAGAATGAGTCCGAGCCCCCAAACGTCCACCGCTTGAGTGTAGTATTTCGGCCATCCGCCCTCACCAGCCCTGAGAACATCTGGCGACATATACCCAGGGGTGCCACAAAGGTGGTGCATCTCGTCTGCCCGGTCAGTCGCAACCCCAAAGTCAGACAGCTTCACCTCGTAAGGTTGCGCTGGATGCGTCAGCAAAACGTTTTCCAGCTTCATATCCCTGTGCACCACCCCAAGGTTGTGCATCTCCCTCAGCGTCTCGGCCAGGCTCTTGGTCACAAACGCCGCCTCGTCATCCGCCAGCCTCCCCACCATCTTGAGCCTGTCCCGGAGAGTGCACGAGCAGAGCTCCAAGATTAGGGATCCCCACCAGCGGCCCTTGCGCTCCTCCTCGACCATGTCGTAGATCTCTAGTGTACCATGGCAGCCATTGAGTTTGAGCATGATTTCCTTCTCTCTCTCACCCGACCTCTCGAAGCTCTTAGCCGCTAGCAACTTACCACCCATTCTAAAGCTTACAAGGTGTACAGTGCCTTGCCCTCCCTTTCCAAGCTCAAAACCCACATCGTACATCTTCCTCAACGACGACAGCTCCTCGCTCACAACCAACTCACCAGTCTCGACCGCTCTCCACACAGTCATGGCGAGATTAAACAACGATTGTTAGCGTGACCTAAAGGGAACTGCCTTTAAGTCTTGATCAAACCAGATTGAGTTATGATCAAGACTTGCAGACCTTTGCGGTGAATTCCACGACATAGAGATTGTTTCCTTTGCTCGTTTCTTTCGCTGTGCCCGTGGCTCCTTCAAATCTTCCGGTGCCACCAACGATGGCGAAAAGAGCTTGAGATCCAGCGGTCGAGCTCCCGGCCTCGCCTTGAAACTCGAGGCTGCTACCATCAGCAAAGGAGCAATGCGAGGACTGGAAGCTCCCCAGGCCGGTGTTTGCGAGGATTCCCATGTATGTCCCCATGCATAACCTGGTATAGCCCTTGGTGGAGACCAAGAATGGGGCTGCGAATGTCTGCATTGATCCGGGTCTACCAGCGTTGTCTTTGGGAAGAACGTAGAACTCGTTTTGGTTGATCCCCGTGTCCGTAAACAGGGACTGGCCTTGGAAGGTGTAGGTCTTGCACTGTTTCACAAGATCCAGATGGTAGAAATTCTTAAGATCTTGACTAGCAATGCAAAGCATGGATAAGAAAATGGAGTCTATACCTTGATGGACGATGCTGATGTCGCTAATGCCAGGATGATTAAGAAGATCCCAATTCCAGAGGAGGCCATTTGGCCTATTATGTAGAATGCTCTAGCCTAGAGCTCTCCATATCTTAGATAAATAGAAAGATACCAGAGTACACGTGAAATACGTGAGCGTCGATCCATTAACACTGGGCCGAGGCTGAAGAAGGACGAGATTGTGAAACAAAACTTGGCAGGAAGAGCTCGTGCATGTCGCCGTTGGTTTCTCGACACAACAGTTGAGG